AAGCCTTCACTTTCGAACCCTTTTCCACAACTTTATATTTTTCCATTGCAGTCTCTACTAACCGTCTGTATTCCAGAAGTTTATCCTTATCTTTGACTTCATTTTGAGTTTGCCATACCTTGATTTGTTCTCTTAATTTCTGCAATTTCTTGATTTCTCTCTTCAAGTCCTATATCCAATGTTAGAGATTATGATTTAATGTCTGTTATTCTTTTATACTTACACTCTCTAGTTTATCTCTTTGAGAAGGATTTGTTGAGTTTTCATGTCTTTCATGATAGGTGTCAAATATCTCAAGACCTTCATTGATCTTTTTAAACACACGATCAATTTCCCTAGAATGATAATTAGTCTATATCCCATTGCAAACATGTTTCATCAAAAACACATACTGTTGAAGTTTCCTATGAGCCATTTTGTAATCACTTTAGTTTTTGAATAAAAAGTATTGAAGACCTTCACTGTATTATTATCATTTAATAAAAATGTGTGAATATGATATGAGATTGAAATGGAATAGAGGGAATTGACAAAATTGAGCTCTAATAAAACTTTTGTTATATAGAGAACTTTCTCCCAAAGAAATTGTTTTACAATATTTGAAATTTCCACGAAAAAAAAAAGTGTAACTAGTTGGAAAGACACAGAGCAGCACAATCTGAACAATGATCAATTCCTTATGAGAACAACTATTCAGTCAAAGTTCTTTGGATTCTTCAATTCTGGTTTCAAAATTCTTTGTGAATCCTTTTTTTTTCTTTGGTTTCGTTGATTCAAATTTTTTTTTTTTTACAGAAACGATTTTTTTTTTGTCTTTTCGAATTGGGCCACTACAAAATTTGAATTTAACAACGATTTTTATACTAAAAAAGAGTATAAAATTCCTATGAAAATGATGAGAAAGAAGGCTATGGATGTTGAAATGAGTGCTATCTGGATAATGTGAGTGAAAGTGGTGGAAATTGTGGTTAAAACGGTGCTAATTATGGTGGGGGTTTGGATACTTGAAGTGTTGATTTTGGTGTTTATTTCAAAATTGAGATTGTTGAGATTTGTTAATAATGAACTGGTTTCCAATGATGATTTGAATGGTTTTAGAGTGATATTTTGATGAGTTATATTTGGTGGTGATAGCGAGAGTATGGCTGTGATGTTGTGGGTCTTGAAAAGATCTTGTAATGTGCTTGTTATGTTTTGGAATTTGTCATAAATATTGGAATTATAATCATCAATTATGCTATCGTTGAACCCAAAATCTTTGAATTGATTGAATTGGGTTAAATTGTACTGCTTGATAATGCTATAGGCAATGTCTGTGGACCCAGAATCGTTTGTAACTCCCCATTTTATCTTTCCTAAGCTCAACATCAATATCAAGAGTATGAAAATCATCATAAACAAATATGGCAAATTTGCGGAATCACCAAACAAATAAGAATTAGTCCAAAACAGTTTTTCAGAAGGTTTAGACTTGGTCATCAATCTTGTTTGAATATCCGTAATCATGGTTACAGTGGGCTCATTTGTACTCTGAATAACACCAATATAATCCATTTTAGAATCTGATTTCTCTAGATCTATGAGTCTTGATGCTGTATAATTGGTCTGATATCGAAATCTAAAGTATTGATAAATCATTATAAAGATGTATGAAATGATGAGAAAGATTCCTATTGTAATTAGATTGATTTTGGATTGTTTTGCAAATTCATTGGATTGAATTGGTGGAAGTGACGAGTTTGTTGTTGAATTGTTGTTTGTTATATTCGTACTCAATAAGTTTGGTGTTATTTGTAAGTTATAAAAGGTCTGATTTGTTTCAATTGTTGTATTAAAGTTTTGAATTTCATCAAGGGCGTTTTGGAAAATTTCATCAAGTTGTTTAAATATGTCACCACTTGAATTATTCAACTCCACAATGGATGTGTTATCGTACACTGATGGTTGATCATTGATCGCAGCTTGCAAAGACTGTTGAATGCTGTCATAATTTAAGGATAAATTGGAGGTATCAACCGAATCACCAACATATACTGCTTTATCCAACGTTGCTTTCAAATTATCGATATTTGCTTTATCTTGAGATAATGAGTCAATAATTGATGAATTCAAAGAGTTCAGCAAGCTTTGAATGTTGATTTGGTTTGTTGTTATACCAATACTTTGATTCAATCTCATTTGAAGTGTAGTGTTAAAGGTTTGAATAAGATCATCAAGTTTCTCATTCAGGTAATCACACGTGGAATTAATATCATTCTTCAGCAAGCTTTGAGCTTGTTGGTTATAACTGTTGATCTCATCATTCATCAACCTACTGAAATCTATTGCATTATTTGTTATTGAAAAATCAACAGACATGACTGAAACATTCGAATTTTTTGATATAGAGTTTTCAAATGAGAATTGGTCAGTTAGTTCCAAACATAGATTGCGGTATATTATCAGTATAATCATAGAAAATACTCCGAATAGTATCAACGGATTGATTATTGACTGTATTAGTTTTGAAATGAGTGAGTTGTGAAGTCTCTGGGAATTTGAATATGTGAATTTTGTCATTACTGAAGTACCTTGCAGAGGTAGATTCTACAAAATTAAAAACAAGATAAATATGAAAATGTTCATATATAAATAACTTCATAGAAATCTACGTTCTTTCCTTCAATTGTGTTTCATCAGTTGTCTTTAAAACCGTTGTTTAATCATTGTATCAAAATTGTCACATGAATCTGTCAAAAGGTGAGTGTTCGTACCAGTGAAATTTAAAACGAGTTCTGGACTCAGAAAAGGATAGAGAAGAATAAATCCCTAATATAAATTATGAGTCCATGATATTAAAGATTCAGGAGATGTCAAAGCTTACTATAGCCAATACAATGCAACTTTGGACTAGAAATGATCAATCAATGAAGTTTCGGTCAAAATCGTGCTGAATTAACTATCATACAACTGACTATCATACAATTAATATTAGGTACTACTAGCGTGAATCAATCATTCACAATAGTACGGTCATCAACGTCTCTAATTATTCTATTATTGTGTCACTTTTGAAAATTCCAACGGTTAAATCCTTCAACGTGAAGTTTACACTTTGTAATTTAAGGCTTCGGCTGTTCCGCGGTCCACACGCCAAAAGGCGAACCGTAGGCTTATGTCTCCGCGGTACCGCGGCTGGCAATGTTTACTGATAATCACAAACAAAAAAGCAGATTCGGATGATGAGTATAAAAGAAGCAGATTATCCAGGGAGTTGGTTTGAAGTTTTAATCAGTTTCAATCATCAAGAGATTACAACATCATGCCATCAGCCACTACTACTTTGAAAGTCGAACCTTTATCAGGTGCTCAACTTGGTGCTAAAATCACTTTACCACAAGGTATTACTGATCCATCAAAATTAAGTGAGGATGATTTCACTAAATTGAATGAAGCATTACATAAATATTCTGTTCTTGTTATTCCAAACCAAGCTGACCTACCACCAAACTCTCAATGGAAATTAACAGCAAGATTTGATCCAACTACTCAAACTAATGGTCAAAATTATGGTCATGGTAAAGAATTTAGACATGATAGATCAGTTTTGAAAAAAGATGGTACCTCAATCCCTGATCAACCTCAAGTTCAAGTATTGGGACAAGGTGAATGGGAAGCTGGCCATCATGGACTTGGTGATATCAAATTAACTCATCCAACCCATTTCACTTTCCATAAAGATACTCTAACTCCTGAACAAGTTGAAGCTAATCAAACAAGATTTTATAGATGGCATATTGATTCTGCATTATATGAATTATCTCCACCTGTTGCCACTACTTTATTAGGTATTCATGTTCCTCCACATAGTTATACTCAAAAGATTGTTTATGAAGATACCAAAGAAGAATTAGAATTGACTCAAGGTGCTACTGCTTTTGTTAGCGGTAAGAATGCGTTTGATATTTTGAGTGATGAAGATAAAGAATTGGCTTTAAACACAAAAGTTGTTTATGCTCCACATCCATATATTTTCATTTCAGAAGCTAAGGCAACTTCAGATGGGTTAACAATGGTTAATGAAGGTAAAGAGCTTCCATTAGATGAATTACCAGAATGGGAAGAATCAAAAGTTAAAAAACTACCATTGGTCTGGACAAACCCAATCACTGGTGAACATCATTTACAAGCTCATGCATGTTGTGTTTGGAGATTAGAAAGATCTAATGGTGAAGTTTTAGAATTGGAAGATGCCAGAAAAGAATTATATAGAATAATGAGACCTGCCATTTCTCCAAAATATGTTTATGCTCATAGTTGGGAAGCTGGTGATTTGGTTATTTTCCACAATAGAGGTGTTTGGCATGCAGTTACTGGTCAATTTAAACCAGGTGAAAGAAGATTAATGCATCAATGTAATATTGCTAGTGGTGTTGATCCAGTTTGTGCTAAATGAGCTGGTATAATGGGTGTTTTATTTCTTTCTGTTTGATTTTGGGCTATTATTTTGTTTAATTTGGGTGAATATTATGTGATTTTTGATACAAATGTAGACTAAATCAAACTTTCATATGTCTGTCAATTCATCATGTGCCATACACTAGCCACACTTATTACATAATCCACACAATACCTCACCAGCCACACTTGAGGAGTCTGTGGCTAGTGAGTTTTCCCAGTTTTGATTTTTGACGCACTCCGTTTTTCGGCCTCGAAAAGCTCAAAACTTTTTAAGCTCTGGGGTAGAAATGATGATGATGAGTAAACAAAAAGCACAATAAGTAAGTGTGATTATATATATAAGATGTAAGGAGATTCCTGATCTTTTAATATTATAATTCCCAACCATATCAAATCATGTTGGGTAAACGCTTCCAATCAACAATCTCAAGATTCCCATATCCTTCACGTTCTGAACAGTTCAAATATTATGAAGAACAGATCGAATCGATAAAACAATGGTGGTCAAGTCCAAGATTTAAAGGTATCAAAAGAACTTATACCGCAGAACTAGTTGCTGGACATCGTGGCTCTTTTAACATTCAATACCCATCTTCAATCCAAGCTCAAAAATTGTTCAATCTATTAAATACTAGATTTGATGAAGGTAAACCTGTACATACAATAGGTTCAATTGATCCTGTTCAAATCACTCAAAGTGCTAAAAATCAAGAAATTGCATATGTTTCAGGATGGGCATGCTCTAGTGTCTTGACTACAACTAATGAGGTTAGTCCAGATTTTGGTGATTATCCTTATGATACTGTCCCAAATCAAGTTGAAAGATTATTTAAAGCTCAGTTATTACATGATAAAAAATCTTATAGTGATTGGTTACAGAACCCTAAAAGAGATGAAGTTGATAGAATTGATTACCTTAGACCTATAATTGCAGATGCTGATACTGGTCATGGTGGGACCGGTTCTGTTATGAAGTTGGCTAAATTATTTGCTGAAAGAGGTGCAGCTGCAATTCATATCGAGGATCAATTACATGGTGGTAAAAAATGTGGTCATTTAAGTGGGAAAGTTTTAGTACCAACTTCTACACAAATTTCTAGACTGATTGCAACTAGATTACAATGGGATATAATGAATACAGAAAATTTGGTTATTGCAAGAACTGATTCAGAAACAGGGAATTTATTAAGCTCCACAGTGGATCCAAGAGATCATGAGTTTATCTTGGGTGTTGTTGATCCTGTTAAACCTTTGAGTGAAGTTTTATATGAAGCTGAAGCTCAAGGTGCAAATTCTGAACACATAAACTCCGTGGAACAAGAATGGGTAGAGAATCATAAATTGTATACTTTCAATGAAGCTGTTGAATCGAAATTGAAAGATTTGAAAAAAATGGATCTTTATGCAAACTTCCTTCAACAATCACAAAATAAATCTCTTTATGATTCAAAATTAATTTTCAAAAGATTATCAGGAGGTGAAGAGATTTTCTTTGATTGGGAAGCTCCAAAGACAAGAGAAGGTTATTATTTAGTCAAAGCTAGTATTGATGTTGCAGTCAAGAGAGTTATTGAATATGCTCCATACGCTGATTTATTATGGTTGGAAACTAAAACACCAGATTTGAAATATGCTCAAGAATTCGCTAAAAGAATCCATCAAGTTTATCCTGATAAGAAATTGGTTTATAACCTAAGTCCATCATTTAATTGGAGTGCTCATGGTTTTACTGAACATGATTTACAACAATTTATTTGGGATTTAGCAAAATCTGGGTTTGTTTTACAATTGGTTTCATTAGCTGGACTTCATACAAATGCTGTTTCGAATTATGAATTGAGTAAGAACTTCAAAGACCAGGGAATGAAAGCATATGTTGAATTGGTTCAACGTAAAGAAAAAGAGATTGGATGTGATGTCTTGACTCATCAAAAATGGTCTGGTGCAAATTACTATGATGATTTGATTAGTGCTGTGCAAAGTGGTTCTTCTCAAACTAGTTCTGTTGGTAAAGATTCCACCGAGCACTCATTTTAGACCTTCTCCTATTTATTTATTTATGACTTCATATTTATACACTATTTATTCATATAACAAACTCTTGTACACTTTATAGATTCTCTGTCACTATTAAAATGTCGGTTAACGTGTGCCGAATTACGCATGGATTACATAAGTCATATCGGCACAGTTTATTTTTTGTTGTGCCGACTCTTTGTTTTGATAATTTTCATTTCCAACCGACATCAACACGTAAATTAAGCCAGTCACTGATTTCACAACTGGGAACGCATATCTTGACAGGTAATTAGCTTCAGAGTCTCCAGAATAGCCATAGAATTACTCTGATCAGAATGGATCAAGAAAGAAAGAAGGAATTGGAAACTTGATCAAGGGTATTGGATTCATATTTCCATGATGTTCAACGGTTTATATCTAGATAACCAGCCGTACAGGGCTCACTCATGAATTAGCCATACCTTCAACAATACTCGTACTCTTTTTGAGTTAACGTTCACTTAAATCAGTGATTATCATGAGCTAAGAAATCTTTTTCTCAATCAAGCATCGGCCTGCACAATACATTGATTCTTGAACCCTTGTCACTTGACTGGATCCAGAACAAAATTCAAAAGATGGAGAATATCGTACCGACTTTCATAACAAATGGACTTTTATTTGCTTTCAAGAATCAAGAGCCATTAAATCAAGGGTTTGGTTTCTTTTTTAGACTCAGGTACTACACATCGGTGAGCTACTTTAATCATGAACTGTTGAAGATTTACTTGGTACCGACAATATTAATTATGGAGGGGGAACAATCATTGAATATAAATTGTGTCAAAAATCCAGCTCAACCTTCAAAAATGATGCATTTATTGGGTCAACCAAGTATAAAATGTCTGATCATTCAGTGAGAGACTTATCCTCAATTGATTCAGATTCAATTCATGGATTTCAACCAAGTATTAATGAAAATGAAGAACATTCCAATAGTAATCTTGTAACGAGAACACATTCAATTGCTGAACACCTTGGAATACAATCATCTCATGATAAAGAAACTTTAGAAAGATTGGTTACAAATAATAAAGGTGTTGATGATATCATAACAAGGTTAGAAACAAGAGCTGGTCAATTGGGGCCATTGGAAGATGGGATCGATATTCATGAAGTTGCAACACACGCTGCACCTGATTCAACTTTCCATCCTGAAGATAAATGGCATTATCCAATTGATGAAGAAACTGGGATGAGAATTGTTCAATTTATTGAAAATGATGAAAAAGATCCAAGAAATTGGTCAAATCTATATAAATGGTTTTTAACGTTCTTCTTGGGAACTGTTTGCTTTGATGTTGCATTTTGTTCTGCTGTTGTTACAGGAGATGTTGATGGTCCTATGAAAACTTTCCATGTTTCTGAAGAAGTTATTATATTGACAGTGACATTATTAGTTATTGGATTTGGGGTTGGTCCATTAATTTTCGCTCCACTAAGTGAAGAAGTTGGAAGAAGACCAGTTTATGTTGTTACTTTAGGTATTGCTGTTATATTTATCATTCCTTGTGCTGTTGCTAAAAACATTGGTACGCTATTAGTTTGTAGATTTTTGGATGGTTTATTCTTTAGTGCACCAATGTGTTTAATTGGTGGTAATTTAGCTGAAATGTGGAGAACTGAGGAAAGAGGTGTTGCTATGAGTATTTTCAGTGCTGCTCCATTCTTAGGACCTGTTATTGGACCATTGGTTGGTGGGTTTATTGGTGATAATGCCGGATGGAGATGGATCTATTGGGTAATGTTGATTTTTTCAGGTGTTTTATATATTGCTTTAGTGTTATTATTACCAGAGACTCATCATCAAACTATTTTAAAGAAAAGAGCTAAAAGTTTAAGAAAATTGACAGGTGATGATACTTATAGAGCTATTTCTGAGGTTAAGATTCGTTCATTAAAAAAAATTGCAGAGGAAACTTTATTAAGACCATTGATTTTATTGACTGAGCCAATTGTCTTCTTGATCACAATCTACATGGCCATTGTTTATGGTCTTTTATACATGTTCTTCTTTGCTTATCCAGTTGTTTATATGGAGGGAAAAGGATGGAGTGCTTCAATGACTGGACTTATGTTCATTCCAATTGCTGTTGGTGTGATTGGAGCTACTGCTATTGCTCCTGTTTTCAACATTGATTATAACAAGAGGGCTCAAAAATACAAGGATCGTGGAGAGTTACCACCAGCTGAATTAAGACTAATCCCCATGATGATTGGTTGTTGGTTTGTTCCTGCTGGATTATTTGCATTTGCATGGTCATCATATCCTCATGTTCATTGGGCAGGTCCATGTATTTCAGGGTTGGCTTGTGGTTGGGGTTTCAATCAATTATACAATCCTGCCAATAATTACATTGTGGATTCTTATCAACATTATGCTGCTTCAGGTTTAGCAGCAAAGACATTTTTGAGAAGTATGTGGGGTGCAGTTGTTCCGCTATTTACTGTTCAGATGTATCATAGATTAGGATATGAATGGGCATCCTCGTTATTGGCATTTATTTCATTAGCATGTTGTGGTATTCCATATTTCTTCTTCTTCTTTGGTAAAAGAGTTAGAGCTAGATCCAAGTATGCTTATAGTCCAGAGAGTGAACAAAAAGACTTGAAAGTTAAAGATGAGGAAAATGCTGAATCTTCATCAAGCTCATCCAAATGAACAATTATATACGCCCCATTTAATGCTATAGATATGTCTTTCATGTTCAAGAATTAGTTTACGTCTGAAAACGCGTCGCTTCGAGTCTCAGAGGATCCATGATTTCGTGGTTTTTTCTGATGAAAAATTCCGCAAATTGTCGGTTGGTCACCAAAGTGAAGACCGATTACACGCTAAATAATAACTCAAAAGCTGCAAGAACAATACAGATCATAATGATTCACGAAGAAAGCAGCATGAAAGGATTCAGAGTTGGTTTGTATATAAACAATGGAATATGCCTTTGTTTTCAGTGATTTTGAGGTTCTTTTTTTATTGAAGACAAAAAAAATTTCATCATGTCAGATAATCACAGTTTGAATTCTATTGATTCATTAGAAGAAAACAGAGTCAAGGCTTTTGCCCCAGATGATCATGCTGAAAGCGAAGTTGCAAGTCATCAACATGGTGGTTCTATGAGCAGAACACAATCCATAAGCAGTCATATTGCTAGAACATTAACAGGCGGTAAATCAGAACATGATAGAGAGGCGCTAGAAAAATTAGTATCAAATAACAAAGGTGTTGATAATTTGATCACCAAGTTGGAGTCAAGAGCAGGTCAACTAGGTCCGTTAGAGGATGGGATAGATATCCATGAAGTTTCAACACATCCAGATCCAAATTCTACATTCCATCCAGAAGATGAATGGAAATACCCAATAGATCAAGAAACTGGAATGAGAGTTGTTGAATTTGTTCCAAATGATAAAAAAGATCCAAGAAATTGGTCAAAGGCTTATAAATGGTTTGTTACATTCTTCTTGGGTGCTGTGTGTTTTGATGTTGCCTTAGCTTCAGCTATTGTCACTGGTGATATGGAGGGTCCAATGAAAAGTTTTCATGTTTCCGAAGAAGTTGTTATTTTGACTGTGACTTTATTGGTTTTAGGGTTTGGTTTAGGTCCTTTGATCTTTGCACCTTTGAGTGAAGAAGTTGGTAGAAGATGGATTTATGTTACAACTTTAGGTGCTGCTGTCATCTTTATTATTCCTTGTGCTGTTGCAAAAAACATTGGTACTTTATTAGTTTGTAGATTTTTGGATGGTTTATTCTTCAGTGCTCCAATGTGTTTGATTGGTGGTAATTTAGCTGAAATGTGGAAAACTGAAGAAAGAGGTGTTGCTATGAGTATCTTTAGTGCTGCTCCTTTTATTGGTCCAGCTATTGGTCCTTTGATTGGTGGTTATATTGGTGATAATGCAGGTTGGAGATGGATTTATTGGGTCTTGTTGATCTTTTCTGGTGTTTTATATATTGCAATGGTTATATTAGTTCCAGAAACTCACCATCAAACCATTTTGAAAAGCAGAGCTAAAAAATTGAGAAAATTAACAGGTGATGAAACTTATAGAGCCATTTCAGAAATCAAACTTCGTACTTTCAAAGAAGTTGCCAATGAAACTTTGTTAAGACCATTGATTTTACTATCTGAACCAATTGTTTTCTTGATCACTCTATATATGTCTGTCATTTACGGTTTACTTTATATGTTCTTCTTTGCTTACCCAATCGTTTATATGGAAGGTAAACATTGGAGTGCTTCGAAAACTGGGTTAATGTTTATTCCTATTGCTATCGGTGTCATTGTTGCTACCGTTGTTTCTCCATTCTTCAATAATGATTATAACAAGAGAGCTCAGAAATATAGCAACCGTGGTGAATTACCACCAGCTGAATTGAGATTGATTCCTATGATGATTGGATGTTGGTTTGTTCCAGCTGGTTTGTTTTCATTCGCTTGGTCTTCTTATCCAAGTGTTCACTGGGCTGGGCCATGTATTTCTGGGTTTGCATGTGGGCTAGGTTTCAACCTGTTGTATAACCCAGCTAACAACTACATTGTGGACTCTTACCAACATTATGCTGCTTCAGGTTTAGCTGCAAAGACATTTTTGAGAAGTATGTGGGGTGCTGCTGTTCCTTTATTCACGATTCAAATGTATCATAGATTAGGATATGAATGGGCTTCATCATTATTAGCATTCATTTCACTAGCATGTTGTGGTATTCCATATTTCTTCTTTTTCTTTGGTAAAAGGGTTAGAGCTAAATCTAAGTATGCTTATAGTCCAGAAAGTGCTAAACATGAAATCTCTGGTGCTAAAGATGCTGAGAAAGTTGGAAGTTCATCCTTATCAGATGAACAATAGATTGGATATCATTGTAACTAGACAATTTTTTTTTATTAACAAAATTTGCATGGCTTATGAGCTGGACAGGCGTTTGGATACACTAAAATATATAATAATAGATTTAATAAATCACTAATAAATATTGAATTGAATAATTTCCAGATCATAGAATATTCGTTTGTTTACCATTTTCATGGTTCGCGCCACACTTGTCAACTAAATTTCGCGAATCGGAAAATGTGCTGCGTGAACCGAAAAATTCTCCTGAAAATTTCGTCAAATTTCATCATCAAACGAACAAACTAGATTTTTGATGTTTTTTACAACACCTTGACAACTGATTATATCGTTTGATAAATTACTCAATTGAATTAAAGTTATCATCAATTCCAACAATGGCTGATTTCGCTTCTCAATTTCAATCAACCTTAAAAGGTTTAGACTCCGTAAGTGCCTTTTGATTATCACAGCCCTTTGGAATATTGCTGAAATTAGATAAAGGATGAAGGAATAACTAACAATTAAAAATTAGAAATTCGCTGGTAACTCAATCTTGACCCAATTTGAAAAAGTTTCAGGCTTACCAAAATCTTATGGTATTTTAGGTTCAGGTGTTTTCTACTTTTTGTTAATCTTTTTAAACATTGGTGGTATTGGTCAATTATTATCAAACATTGCTGGGTTTGTTATTCCAGGTTATTATTCATTACTTGCTTTACAAACTGCTACATCAAAAGATGATACCGAATTATTAACATACTGGGTTGTCTTTGCCTTTTTAAACGTTATTGAATTCTGGTCAAAAGCTATTTTATACTGGATTCCATTCTATTGGTTTATCAAAACCGTCTTTTTATTATATTTAGCATTACCACAATTCGGTGGTGCTCAAATTGTTTACAATGTTGTTATCAAACCAATTGCTGAACAATACATCACTGGTAAACCATCTGCTGCTAACAAATTCGCCAATGCCGTTGATGATGCTGCTGAAGGTGTTGCTTCTGGTGCTTCAAGACATTAGGTTTCTTGACCCTATTCATTCATTTCTTGCTACAGAATCATGAGAAATCTATGTATAAAAAACTATGATATTCAAATATGTTTTGTTGCAAACAATATTATTTTTTCTTTATATATATCCTTTACTTTGTAGTTAAATAGTTTGTTTTAATTTACCAAAATCAAATTGTTCAGTGAATTTCTCACCATTTTTAACATATTCAAATTTAATTCTTAACTTTATTTTGGAATTTGGTGTACCAACAATCTTTAAATCTTGAGTAACTGTGGCAAAAGGTTGAATTGTATGACTTGAAATTGATGACATTGTTAATTTTTGAGTTTTTGGAACTGCAATCAATAATTGTAAATCAGAAATTTCTGAAGTTGATAAATTTCCAAGTTGTGTTTCAATAACTGCTTGTCCTGAACCTATTTGTTTTGGTAAGAAAGATACTTTAACTTTATCTGATTTATGTGCTTCAATTGCATTACTCTGTGGTGATTGTTGAATTGGTTGTTGTGGTGAATCAAATAGACCCAAAATATCATTATTATTTGATTTGGATTGTGATGTTGCAGGTGTATTATTACTGAAAATATCATTCAATAAATCGGATTCATTCAAATTTGATTGTGGTTGGGAAGGTGATGGACCATCATCCATCAAATCTAATAATAAGTCTTCAGTCTTTGTTGAACCTTTACGGGCAGATGTGTTGGAGTTTGCACTAGCAGCAGCAGCAGGTAATGGTTTAGAGATTCTATTGGTTAATGTGATTGTATCTTTTGCCTTGATTGGAGGTGGTGGCATTCTATCTAATAAACCTTGTTTAATACTATCAGGCTCATTAAAAATGACACTATAACTAATAGCTTTGATTTGAATGTTTAAATCAATGGCTTTTGTTTTAGATTCAATAAAAGCTCTCAATTGGCTCTTTGCAGCACCACCAACTTTACTTGATAATTTTAATGAAGATGTCAAGATATATGAAATCAATGTAGGGTTATCATTTTTCAAGTTTGCCAAATTCAATAAATAATCAACTAAAACATCATCTGTTACTTTTTTATCATCAGATAAGTTTGTTTTCAATAATAAATCACCATATTCACCAACTAACCAAGTCACAATTAAATTTAACCCATTTTGACTATCATCATCATAACCAACTTTGAATAATTTATTGACGGTATAAGTCTTTAATTCATCATTATTTGGAATATTGATAACTAAAGCCAAGATTTGTGAAGTTATACTATTTGTCATAAACCCTCCACTCGATTTAACTAATCTTGTTAAAGTATCAAATTTCCATTTTTCATTTGGAATTAATTCTTTTCTTTCCAAAATATTTGTAACGTTTGTTGTAATATAAGTTTTCAATTCTTTATCATTATTGACAGGATCATCCAAGAAATTTAAAATTTCTTTCAACAAAATTCTAATATTTGAGCTATCTAAAATTGCAAAAGATAACTCTAAAGCTCTTCTCTTGATAGAAACATCTAAGTCTGATAAACAAGCAACAATAGTAGCACGATGTCTTTGAACAGCCAATGGTTCAATTTCCACCACTGAAAGTAAAGTGTTTAATGCAATGTATCTATTGTTATTTTCTCTTTTAGCACCTAATAAATCACCTAAAGTATTTATACCCAAAACTTTCAAAGCTGGATCTAAATTTTGAATACTGAAAATAGTTTTAACAGTTTCATGAACAACTGCAGCACCTGCATTTCTTGCAAAGTCATTATAAGAAAAAACAGCTGTTAAAATATCATTTAAATCTTCATTATATTTAGCAGTATAAGAGTATTGCTCTTCATCAGTGAAAAATAATCTTAGAGTTCTAATCAATGTAATTTGTAAAAATGGATCATGAATGCTCACTAAATCATAATCTTGACTCAAATTACTATTTAATAAAGTTTTCAACATTTCAATGATTTTTGGAATTTTATCTAATAACGGTTCTCTCGATTCTGGTGAAACTTCATAAAGACTTCTAATTAATTTCATAGTACCGATAGTAACACCATGATCATGACTAGCAAGTAATTGATCAATTTTATCAGCAAATATTTCACTTAGATCAGGATCTTTCTCCACAATTTTGGAGGCCACAATTGCAGCTTTTTTCCTCAAATAGTTGTTATTACAACTAATGATTTTTTCGACATCTGTATATAAATCTCTAGCCAATTCTGGAGATGCAATATTCCCTAAAGTGGCCAATGCCAATGAAACAACAAATTGATTTGGATGATTCAAATCATTGTTTAAGGAATTGGTCAACAATGTTAAAACTTCTTGATTTTCATCCAATATCAACATGGTGGCTAAATAACCTAATCTTTTATCAATGAAATTTGGAGATGCCAACAATTTTATACATTCAATCTGACCAAAATGGGTCTTTTCACCAAGGATGTATAGATACAACAACTTTTGAATGTTGATGCGACGAACTTGATGAGTTATAGCAGTATCTTTGAAAGAAGTTCTAATCAGGGCTGATTCTCTCTTGATGATGGATCTCTCGTCGGCAATGGTCTTTGAGGACCTAACCGACTTGATGAAGGACTTGAGCGAGGTGGTCATAGTCAAGTAGCACTAGCACCAGCAATTGATGATCTTTTAAGAGCACAATCAGCTTTTTTGAATTGAAATCTGTTGTGGTTTACACGTTGTTTTGATAGATTTGAAGCTTCTTTTTTGTTTTGGTGTTCAAAATTCAGAAATAGTTTTTGCCAGGGCAACACAATTTTTAAATTTGAAGTGTTTTTTTTCTTTCTAAAAAAATGAATTGAATTGAGCTTTTAAAAGTAAACAAAAGTAAACAAAAGCGTGGTTTTGAGTGGAAAGCTCTTTGTTCATTGGTGGTGACTTATTGAGCTTATTAGCTGTTGTATATCGAATTCAGAAAAGAAAGAAAGCACTGGCTGAGGAACAAACGGTTGTTGATCATGGTATCCTACGCAGACAATCCAAATTATCTATTCATTGAACCCTTCTTGAAATGGGCTCAGGAGCTGTATCAGCACAACACTGGGCTGCGCATCTACAAAAGATTGACAAACAATTCCAGAACAGGCTCTTATTGTGTGTTGACAAATAACGGCAAGAAAAAGACCGAAGACCCAATCACAGTTTATTTGAAAATTGTTAGAATAGGACTGGAAACCGCTTCTTTTGATCTTTATGATACAGTGGCAAAGAAGCACATTTATTTCGAAGCTAGCAATGATAATTTTGATTTCAACCATAGAGCTATTGATGATGAATTGATTAAAAAAGTTAGAAGCTATAGAGAGGCTCCATATGATCATTCTTCCATATTGGAGAGCTCAATAAGTGCAACTTCATCACCAGCTCCATCTTCTCAATCACCTGTTATGTCTCCATCCACAGCGCCAACTGAAGCGCCTCCTACTTCATCATCGTCCTCATCAAATGGCGGAGCAAGCAAACTTTCAAGAGAGATTGTTCCTCAAGATGAAAGTGAAGTTACATTATTGAAAAAAGAATTGGAAAGAACCACATGTGAACTGTTTATTTACAAGCTTGAAAGAGATGCTTTATTGAGAAAGTTAACCCAACCTACAAAAAATACATTCAAAATAACAGATTATAATGTTATAAGGCATTTAACACGCTCATTAGGCATAAGAACATATTCAGTGGAACAAACTGTGTCAAAGAAGAAATTTACTTTGAAAGAATATATTTTCGATGGCTATTCATCTGATCATTTAAAACGTGCAGTGCAACTGGAATTTGTACTACTGACTGAATTAAATGCGTTACCAGAGAAATCCAAACATATAAATTATTTATTGGAAAAGAGTGAAGATCTGACTATAATTAGACATTCTCATTATTTCTTATCAGAACCAGCTATATTGAATCTAGAGGAATTTTCAATGAACTATATGAAGAAAGATAAATCATTATCTACAGTCATTATTACACAAATATTGGAGGGTCTTTCATTTTTGGATACTAAATGTGGAAGAATCCATGGTAATATTGATGCAAGCTCTGTTGTTATTGATTCCACCTGGACTGTTAAATTGACAAGTTTTGGTCTTTCACATCCACTTAACACCAATGTGGATCCATTGAGATTGTTGAATGGTGAAAATGATTTATTAATTAAGCATCCATATATATTTGAGTTAGTTGAAGAGAAAAGACCAATAACAATCAAATATGCCATAGATAGATGGAGTCTTGGATGTTTATTTTACAAATTACTATTTGATTCTGATCTTTTCTTGACATCACCAAGTTATAAAACACACCCAGCAGTTATTGTGAGGTTAGTTGAACGTCCATATGGTAAAATAGTGTCAGCATTCCTCAATGACTACATGAATAATTTTGCACCTGGACAATTGTTGGAGGTTGATTTCTTCAAGAGATATCGTAATCAAAACATTGGTGCTTATATTCATCAACAACAGCAACAACAGCAACCACAACAGCAACCACAACCACAGATGCAAACTCAGGCATCAATACCACAACAGCAATGAAACTGGATGCCAACATGCCAATAAAACAGCTAATAAAATACAAGTTAATTAATGATTTAATCTTATGTAATTTTCGCTATCATGCTTACCAATCACGTGCCCCAAACCGAACCAAGAAATTTTCGCGACCAGGCGATGACAATAAAAAAAATTGCCCCAGAAATTAAAAAAAAGATACGAAGCCAAAAGGTTTAAAAACTAGCAGTTTGACAGATAAGTCCCATATCATCAATTCGTTAAAGTATCAATCAATAGGCCTAAAAGTAACGCCCAAGGATCAAGAAATGTTCAGCTTGCCCTTTAGAAGATCGAGAAGAAAGTCAGAACCTTCAGCAGCCCAAGATGCTACTTCACTTGAGAGTAATAACAATAATTCCTTATCTAGGATCAACTCTATAACAAGCACAATGAGTAATAGAAGCTCTAAAAGGAATAGACTTGGTAGAAGAAAATCTCATTCACATATTCTTTCCAAAAGGTTATCATTCTTCAATAATAATTCAAGTGATGATTTGAATTCCATAGCTACATCAAACAATTCAGATTATGAAACGTTGGAGTTGACAAGATTTAAATCATTAAATTATGATAAATTTAATAGAGAGTTGTTACAATATTTAAAATTCCACGGATTAAGTGCACCAAGGATACTTGATGATTCAGATTTTATAAGGATTTCAATGAGTTCTTCTGGTGAGAATGTTTTCTTACCAAGTATTGTTAATTTTAATGAAGATGATGTCGAGAACCTTGATTTGAACAATGATAATGGTAATAATGAAGCTGCTGGGAATAACTCCAGAGGTGCTGCTGATGAAGATGCCAATGGGGACAATGGTCCAACTACATTACAAGAGGAGACACCTAGACGTACACCACATGAAGAAGACATTGGCGAGCCAGTTAGTCATACATTTGCAATAATAATCTCATTAACCAAACCAACTTCAATATCCACGATAACTACAAAATTACAATCCACTACAAAGATTTTATGGCCCGAGGGTATTCCAGGTGAGCGTTCTACAAAATCTCAAAGTTTTGAAATGGGTCAATTATCATGGGATTTAAACCTGAGTAATTATAATTATTACATTCCATTCAATGCAGAATCTGAAGAAAGTGCGATTGATGATGAAGGTAGTTATAGTGATTTAGACTCTTTTGATACGGGGAAATTCATCACTGAGAATCGTATCCATCCTAAAAAATTTCAAGAAAGATCAGTTGATCAAATCACAAGAGGTCCTTTAAACAGTTTTAAAAAAGATAATGATCCTTTCATAATCGGGAACTTGAACAGTTCTGGCTCAGTTTATTATCCACCTGGTGATTATATTTTCAGATTACCTGTTTTGTTCCCACCTTTGATTTCAGAATCTTTGATTACCCAAAATTCGTCAGTGAATTATAGTTTACGTACTATAGTGGCACAGAAAAACAAACTTTATAATCTTGGGGAACATGGGTTTAATGTTATTAGAGCACCACCTTCAAATGCCGTTTCCACAGCTGATAAACCTGTTTATGTTAATAAAGTATGGAATGATGCCCTAAGTTATGAAATATCGTTTCCTAAAAAATATGTTACAATTGGAGCAAATATTCCAATAAAGATGAAATTTGCTCCTTTGATTAAAGATATTTCTATAAGAAGAATTAGAGTTAATGTATTGGAAAAAGCTACATATTGTTCTAAGGATTTAAAATATGAGTATGATGAGGCAACTTTAGTGAAGAATGAAGGAATGCGAAAGACAAGTGTTAATGAAAAAGTTTTACCTTTGTTAGAAATTCGTACAAGATCAAGAACTGAGTTGGCTCTTAAGGAAGAGATTGTTAGGGATTTACTGAGAGATGATAATCTACTCTCAAGTTGTTATAAGGCAGAAGCTGCTACAAGAGATGATGTGGAAATTATTGGTCAGTTACAAATTCAATCATATTTACCATTCATTAAACCAAACAAGTATAATAAAGAATTACAAACGAAAAATCATACATTAATGTCTACAATTTTCAATTCTGATAAGCATAAGGCTCAAATTAATAAAAATTTAACAACAAAGATTATTAACCAAGGATTTAAAGTTGATACATCAACTTATTATAATGATTTTGGTGAAGGTGTTTATCCAGATTCTGAAAATAATAAATTCATTCAAGTGAGTCATAAATTACAAATTGCAATCAGATTATCTAAGAAAGATGATACTGGTAAATTACATCATTATGAAGTTATGATTGATACACCAATTTTCTTCTTAAACAGTGCATGTGTTCCTGCAAATGTTGAACTTCCAGCATATAATGATGTGACACCAAGATCAAATTCAGATATCAATGGTGATGATGCACCTCAGGCATTTTATGGATATCATGATCAATTACCAACATTTGAAGAAGCCATATCACCAATGAATTCACCATCATTAATCCCATATCAAGGTTCTGGTGAGGAAACTATAAATGTATTGTCAAGAACTTCTACAATAGGATCAGGACCCATACAATCAATTAATTGGAATTATGACAATATAGATCAAGTTGTCACGGGGACATCAGAATTAACAATGGATAATAATAATCAAACAACAATACCAAGAAGACGTTCAGCTGCTGCTAATGATATCATCAACAATTTGAAAAGAACAGGTACACGTAATTCAAGTGTTTATAATAGTAATAGATCTACAGAAAGTGCAAATGTGATACCAGATCGTGAAGATGAGGTTGAGGAAGAGGATGATATACCACCACCACCTAAATATACTGAATCGGTCCCATTATTGAGTGATAATGCTTCAACTTCATCATCAGATATTGAATCATTGTCTAGTGTGGATGATCATGATGATGATTCCCTAAACCAGTTACATAATGAGAGTACGGACTTGACAGATCAGTTTACTCGGTCAATTTATGATCAATGAATGTTGTGTATGACTTTGTACTGATGTAGACAGTCAACGGACCGAGTATCGTGTTTCCTAATAAGCCATTTATTAACCGCATAGAGCCTAGACGTTATGAGATCGATGTCTAAGGTACGTAATTTAAAGAGTTGGAACCCTGTTGATGGCAAATTAGATCATTGTATGGCTACGTCGGGTGGGTTTAAAAGTCACCTTTACACTATTACCGTTAGTAAACGTAAAGAAAACGCTCAACATAGTCATCTTATAACAATTTGAAGGGATTGATCATGGGTATATATATTCAATAGCATAGCCTGCTTTTGTCAAAATCATTTGAGGCGTGAACAATTCAAACATGTATTTCATAAACAACTACACGTTAATAATCCTAGCATTAATATTCCCACCAATACCAGTCATCATCACAAAGGGCATAAGAAAAGATCATTCACTACTGCTAAACCTACTCTGGCATTTCATAGGATACATACCTGCTGTGATACACTCCATATTTGTGATTGCACAATGTGAATATGGTGGGTTTGTCAGTAAACCAAGTGATTGGAAATACATCAAGTTGAATAGTCCGAGTTATCCATTGATGGAAATGGGAAGAGCATTTGTGGCCATTGAACGTACAGAGAGTGGTGAATCTGACGATTCAGTTGATTCCACATCCTGTGTCCAGCTAGACAATAGCCCAATGTCACTAAAAGATGATGATACTCTGGTTTAATTAAATCATGGAAATCACCGTTATCAACATTTTAATTTCTTTGTTCAAAGCTCAAATTTTGACACATTTTATTTAGTCGGATAAAGCCGCCGTTTGTGTGGCCCCTTCCATGAAAACAGTCATTTTTTTTAGGAGCAGTTTTTTTTTAACTTTTGCCTTAAATTTGGCCACTTTGAACAATAAATCAATAATCGATTATAAAGAGAATAGAGAGAGAGAATAGTTATGTGTGATTGTATCTTGGTGTTGTTAGCGTTAGTGTTCCCACCATTCCCAGTCTGGGTCAAATGTGGGCTTTGTTCAGCTGAGTCATTAATCAGTATTGCTCTGAGTATATTGGGATATATACCAGGTGTGATATATGCTCTTTATGTGATAGCCAAATACCCTATACGTTATGTGGTTATAGATGAGGAAGCCCAAGTGTATAGATGTCACCCATCTCATCACAGAGTGCAACAAGGTCCTCCAAGGGTTATCATCAGAGAAAGAGTTGGTACTCCAAGTTCAGAACAAATCATATCAAATTCTAATAATCAATTTTATGGATCAACTAGTAATGATAATCCTCCTGATTATGAAGAAGTGTTGCAACAACAGCAACATCAACAGCAACAACATCCACCTAGAGGGAAATAAACCACACTTGAATACCTTGGTCCTAAGGGCCGAGGAACAACTCATATCAGTTCATGATACCCAGTGTCATTCGTTTTGATTGGTTTCTTTTTCTATTTATTTTTGTTTTTATTACCAAAGGAGTTTTATATGGTTACACTGTGAGCGGGTGTGTTTTTTATGATCTAACTAGATTAAATTAGAAATGGTTGCATCAAAAGGTGGTTGATTTTTAATGAATGAATGATTTCTACAAATTACATTTTCATCAGTAGCATTTCATTAATCTCGTTATACATAACCCATAATTTCAATTTGTCCTTATTCTCTTATTATCAGTCCAGCTTGACGCCAAAGTACTCGGTATATTGTCTTTTTCAATGAGAAATATTTCATTTGGTGAAGGACGATTTCCTAAACGAACACCACATAATAATGTTTTATAACCGTCTTCAATTTTATAAATTCTTAAGGAGGAATCAACATAACTTGTTATAAATGTCAATACCCCTTCAGTTTCTCTCAACTCTGGTAAAGCAGATCTTAGCTTTATATAACTCATTGAAGATAGGGCACCTGTCTTCATTTGAAATTTGTTTATAATTTTTTGATTATCAATATCAAATAGAGTAACATTATCAAATGAATCCGCAATGAATAATGTGTTTTCAGAGATTAGCTTTAAATGTTTGATTGGATTTTCACCAATTTCAATTTCATCAATTGGTAATCTCGATACTTCAGTATTGAAAAATAAAAGCTTTCCAAACCTTGTTGCAGCTATAAATTTAACTTCGGCACCATCTTCTTTCACTATAACAACATCTTGGATCCATATTGATTCTCTTTCTTTATTAATATATGGTTGATATAATTTATCCAATTTCTTAGGAGTTTTCGATTTCCAAATTGTTAAATGAGAATCAACATCCACTATAGTAATCTCTCTATCTTTACCACCTATTATAACTAGAGAATCTTGAGATGCTGGTAAAACTTTGAAAAAACTTATTGGTCCTTGTAATCCAAAAGACATTGAGAAATCATTGAAGCAAGAATTGATCAATGAATTGATATTGAGGAAATAACAATAGCCCAGCCCAGTGGATGCTCTGAATTCACCATGCACCACATCCAAAGATATAAAGAAGTCTGAATCATCTTGATTTGTCATTAATTGTTTTGTGGAGATACATTTAAAATTCCTATCAATATCAAAGATCTGGACAGTTAACCCCTTTCTCCCAACCAATAAATATCTTGTACCGTCTTTAACAAACTCGCAAAACTGCTGAACATAATGCTGTTTGCCCATACATCCAAAAAGAGCCTTCTTTACAAACACCAATTCTTCACTCAGTTCATAAACTGTACACCAGAGTTAGTTTCACTCCCTTTCCAATTCCTCCAAATCACTCACCTGCAATTCCACCAGATGCCAAATCAGACACTAGTATTCTCATCTTTCTTCAACTTCCTGCTTTTATTATCTGATTCTTTATTGTTCATGAAATGGCATCAAAATGTATTGTTCCATGGTGTAAACAAAACCAAAATACCCAAATTTACCCTGAACTCACCGAGAGCGTATAAGTTTCTTCCTAACTCCAACGGGTTTAACACATTTATATATTCAGTTCTATGCCAAAGAAATGCCCAGGATCTCGATACGACAATTCCATAAAAGTGTCAAGAGAGTATGTTAAACTTATAGCCTTTTTATCAGAGAAGTGACTAACAAATCAGATGATTAATTGGAATGAATCTGAAGTTTTAATAGATAGAAAATCAAAATTTCAAGGTCGTGCTACAATAATTAAGCCTGGCCAGGATATAAACAAACTATTGGAGGACTTAGTGGCCAATGACAAATCATTGCAAAAGGCTAGTCACAAGACAATGCATGCTTGGAGAACAGGTACTGAGGATGTAAAACTGGGTAAAATTAATCCAACTAATCAAGGTATGAGTGATTGTGGTGAGAGTGGTGCTGGTGTTCGAATTATGACATTGTTGGAGAGGTCTCATTTGATAAATGTTTTGGTTGTGGTGACTAGATGGTATGGTGGTACTGCGTTAGGGCCTGCGAGATTTAGACATATTACTACTGTAGCTGTGGAAAGTTTGAGGAATGGTGGATTTTTGAAAGTTGAAGGTGATGATCATGAAAAGACTACAAAGAAGAAGTCTAAAAAGAAGAAGTGAAGGGGATTATTAAAATACTGTCATTGTTGGTATTATAGATTTCTTGCGGAAATTGAACCTTGTTAATGGTGTGATTTCATATCCATGCGGTGTTGATGAGATCCTGTATGTCTTTATTGATCCTGTTCCTCCAATGAATAAGATATAATCATCATCACCATCGTGAACTAATTCCATTGAAGCCATTGGACCAGTTTCTATAGTGCCCTGCCATGTTTGAAGTATCTTGAAGCTTTTTATCTCTATCAAATGAACATTACCAAAAGAGTCCAATGTCAAGATATTATGATCACCAATTTCAAACATTTTATTGACAGTTATTTCCAATACAGATAATGGACACATTGAAATAGTTGTATCAAACAACATCAATTTCCCAAACTTACTAGCAAGAACCAATTTTATCTTTCTTGGTGAAGTTGGATCTGAACCAACAATCATTAAATCCTGGACCCATTTTGTCTGATCATCTCCATCATCAAGGTATAAGTCCTCCAACAGACTAGTATGTTTAGATTTCCAAAGATGTGTCAGGGCGTAAAAATCATTGATTTCCACTTCATGATCTTTCCCACCTGATATACTGACCCATTTATGGAATGGGTGAAGTTTTAAACATGTAACAGGTGAACTGACTGATAATGAAAGATAGTTTAATGTTTGGAAATCACCAACATGATTTCTATTCAAGATTGGACAAACATTTTGTATGACAACTTTGCCCAAACATGAACATGAATGGATGCAATCATCTCTATAGATCAAGGAAACGAAATGGTCCTCGGTGTCTCCATAAAGATATAGATTATTACCATAGACAAACGCTAGAGTGATGCCATCATCAGTGACTTTGTAGATTTGGATAGATCCACCTCTTCTGGCACACGCGATATACTGTTCATCAAGATGTAGGAACGAGGTGATTTGTTGAATATACAAGTCTCTGCCTCTTTTATCTAATTGGATTGACTTTCTGAGCTTCATATCTGGTGAAATATCAAGAACTGAATGTGTCAGTATGATTAAACAGATACAATTCAGATAAACTCACTTCTCAAACTTCCATCTTGAACCAATGAAGCGGCTATCTTCATTTCTGAAGGAATGGTAATATATTTAGTAGCCTTACAAGTCGTTTCCTAGTTTCCCATACTTTGTTTATTTATATTTCAAGATTCTACTTTTTTAAGCACAATAAAGGTTATGGCACTGTGTCCCATAACAATTTTAATAACCTCTAAATTTGTATTATGTCAATAAATTATATATATTTGTATGGGTTCAAGATCAACTTTGGATCATACAATTTCTTTAAATCCTTCATCAATTCAATCTCTAATTCACTCTTGGAGTATCCAATATAATTCTTTTTTTGGAATCCTAACCCATGTTCAGCAGAAATTGAACCTTTTTTAGATGAAACCCATTCATAAACAAATGGCTCTAAGACTTTTTCAACATCTTTAGTATATCTTCTAACAGCAACGTTCAAGTGTAAATTACCATCACCAACATGTCCGTATCCAATAGCATCAATGACTGGGAATTCTTCAGTTTCACCTAATAATTTATGTTCGATTAATCTTTCTCTAACAGCGTCAACTAATCCATAAAGATGATCTAATGGCAATGAAACATCATATTTATAAACACCACCACCAATAGTCGAAGCTTCAGGAATTTGTTCTCTCCAATTCCATAAGTTTTTCAATTGAGTTTCATCTTGTGCAATAACACCATCACTAATAATTTCTTGTTCAAAAGCTTGTTCCAAGAATTTTTCCAATTTTTCTTGATCATGTGTAGCATCTGAACCTGAAGTTTCAATTAAAACGTAGAAAGGATGTTCATCTTCTAAAGGATGTGTAGTTTTCAAATGTTCTTTTGCTAAAACTTGAGAATTAGAATCCATCAATTCAAAAGCTGACAAGATTTCACCCAATTCACGTTTAGCACTCTTGAAAGTGGTTTTAACAGCTTCATAACTTTCAACACCTAAAAAGGCAACATTAAAACTTTGTGGTCTTGGAGGACACAAGATCGAAACACCAGTAATAACACCTAAAGTACCTTCACTACCAATAAACAATTGTTTTAAATCATAACCAGTATTATCTTTTCTTAGTGCATCTAATGATGAAAGGACACGACCATCTGGTAATACAACTTCTAAACCTAAAACTGAACCATGTAATGAACCATAACGTAATAGACGTAATCCACCAGCATTAGTTGCCACAACACCACCAACATGACAAGAACCTTTAGCACCAAGATCCAATGGGAAGATATAACCGTGTTCAGCCAAGTATTGATCAGCAATTTCTAAAACAACACCGGCATCAGCTTTCAAGATACCTGAAGTTTTATCAAATGATCTAATTGAATTTAAATTTGAAACGTTTAATACAATTTCATCAAACACTGGGATGGATCCACCAACAAGACCGGTATTACCACCTTGTGGCACTATAGCCAAACTATGTTCATTTGCATATTTCAAAATTTGAGAAACTTGTTCAGTTGTTTTAGGTTTTAATGTTAATTTTGATTGACCTCTATATTTTCTCATCCAATCTTCATTATAAAATAATAAATCATCTGAATCTTGGATTATACTTGATTCTGGTAAGATTGATTTGAAAAAATCTAAATCTTGAGATGATAGTTTTTTATATCTTTGATCACGATGAACATTTGGATAAGTTTCACTTGTTAATGGGACAATTTTGGAAGCATAGTTACGGGTCACTATTCTGGAGGATAATGGAGCTGATGATGATTTGACGAGCAAAGAGCGACGTGTTAATGTGCTAAATGATCTTTTCACAGTGGATCTGAGCATCTTGGAGGATTGAAGAATATATGAATTACCGTGTTGGATATGTGGTTAATGGTTGAGTTTGTTTCTATGACCAATTTTTTTTCCAATTTTTCTTTTGGCAGTTTGACTTCTTTTTCTATAGAAATCACACTAGAAAAATGAATGAAGAACACAACTGAAAGGATCCTTTGGCGTATGATCTATAGAGTGGACTATCTCCTCTATTTAGTTAGTAGATGCTCAAGATTATAGTCTTTTTCCTGTTCATTTCCATCCAATTTTGAGCTCATTTGACCAATAAAATATTGAACAATTTCACGTTTTTTTCAACATCGGAAGCATGTATCCACTACAGAAAAAAATATCAAATCTTGTGTATTTCAATACTGAATCAATACCGTGGGCCTTTATTCTTTTGTCTAAATCTTCCTCCTTTGTAGCCTCCTCCAGGACCTCCAGACCGGCTTGGTTCAAGGTATCCTGATCTCGAAGGCCCATTATTATAACCTTGATTGTAACCTTGGTTATACCCTTGATTATAACTCTGGTTATTATAACTCTGATTATATGGTTGGTTATAACTGTCAACTCTACTATACCCACCTTGCTGATAACCATTATTATAGCTTGGATTTCTAGGATAATCTAATGAAGATCTATTAGCTGCAGGTGGTGGTAAGACTCCTGATTTATGAATTGGTCTATTATTAAAATTAGGCGTACTTTGAGCCTTCCGTATTTCTTTCTTGCTTGGTTTATTCTTCTTTTTCGATGGACCTTCATCATCATAGCCATCTGAACCTTTGTTACGTTTAAAAGTATCTTTGATTCTATTGAATAACCCATTTTTCTTCTTTTGATCCTTCTTGGAATCACTTGATATACTATAGTTGTCATTATATCTATCATCTTCATCATAATCATCATCTCTTCTACGTTTCTTATGCAGTGAGAAATATTTATCTCTAAGTTGTTGTGGTAAATTATGACCTGAAAATGCAGATCCATCTAGGTTTGGCACCCTTGAAGTTCTCTCTGATGGACATTCATCACCATAATGACCCTTTTCAGCACAGTTATAACAATATATATTTGTTGGAAGACCCATTTTACGATCTGAATCTTTAGTTGTAAGATAACTTCTCCATATACTTGTACATCTATCACTGAAATGTCTTGTTGATGAACATGTTTGACAATAAACTCTTCTTTGCTTTTGAGTACATTGGTTTTTATAATGGCCCTTCTCTCCACAGTTTGAACATACAATAGATTTTGGACAATGTTGTGAATAATGATCATCAACCATACCACACGCCATACAGACAACAGTTTTACAATTAGCCTTCTTGTGTCCTCTCTGATGACAATTACTACAAACAGGTCCACTCGGAGTATCTGAAGCACCAAAATATCTACCCTCACCTCTCTTTATCTTTGTTAATCCTAGCCTATTATAAAAAAACCTGTCATTTACTTACCAATTCCACCAACTCATCTGCGTTATCATTCACCTCATCGATGGTCAAACTGATTGTCTTTGAGCCTTCACTTGGCTTTACAAAGTCTGTGTCGCCAGCTTCAACGCTAAAAAAAGGGGTCAGTCAAACTTCTGTGACTCACACTCCACAAAATCAACATACACATCCATTTCCACACTTTCAAATCGATTTATGACTCTTCAAATCAAAAACATTTAAATCAACTTCAAATTCACTTTTTTTTAAAAAAGAAAAATAAAAAAAAATCTCATTTTGCAAAACGCATTCGCGACATTCGCGATTTCTTCAAAAAAAATTTTTTTTTGCGTGTACCGAAAAAAACAGGAAAAAAAAGTCCAACGTCAACCAAAAAATCAACAGATTTCTTTGAAAGAGTCATCAAAGTTCAACCAATTGGCATTGTACAAATGGTGGAAGAAGTCGCTAAGAAGATCGAACAGCTCGCTGTTGATGGGGAACAGGCCAAGGTCTCTGCTCCAACTCCGGCTGAACAAAAAGCTCAAAAACCTAAAGGTGAAGGTAAAAAGAAGAAGGATAAATCTGCTGGTGCAGCTTCAAAACAATTATATTTAGATCCTCAACCTGATTTTGTTCAAGAAAGAATTGAATTTTTTGAAAAATTACAAAAAGAATATAATGAATATGTTGAAGCTCAACCTAAATCATCAATTAAAATCACTTTAAAAGATGGTACTATTAAAGAAGGTAAAGCTTGGGAAACTTCACCTTTCCAAATTGCTTCAGAAATTGGTAAATCATTTTTAGAAAGACAATGTATCTCAAAAGTTAATGGTGAATTATGGGATTTAGAACGTCCTTTAGAAGAAGATACTGTTTTAGAATTTTTCGATTTCTCAACTGATGAAGGTAAACGTGTCTTTTGGCATTCATCTGCTCATGTTTTAGGTGAAGCTTGTGAATGTAATTTAGGTGCACACATTTGTCTTGGTCCTCCAACTGATGATGGGTTCTTTTATGAATTTTCAGTTAATGGTGGTGAAGTTTCAGTTTCTCAAGCTGATTTCCCAAATTTAGAAGGTGTTGCTAAAAATGCAATTAAACAAAAGCAAAAATTTGAAAGATTAGTTGTTTCAAAAGAGAATTTGCTAAAGATGTTTCATTATTCCAAGTATAAAACTTATTTAGTTCAAACTAAAGTTCCAGATGGTGGTTCAACAACCATTTATAGAAATGGTCCATTAATTGATTTATGTGTTGGTCCTCATATCCCACATACTGGTCGTATTAAAGCTTTCAAATTGTTGAAAAACTCATCTTGTTACTTTTTAGGTGATGCTACTAATGATTCATTACAAAGAGTTTATGGTGTTTCATTCCCTGATAAAAAATTAATGGATGAACATTTAAAATTCCTTGAAGAAGCTTCCAAAAGAGATCATAGAAAGATTGGTAAAGAACAAGAATTGTATTTTTTCAATGAATTATCCCCAGGTTCTTCATTTTGGTTACCTCATGGTACAAGAATTTATAATGCTTTATTAGATTTAATACGTACTGAATATCGTAAACGTGGTTATGATGAAGTTATTACACCAAATATGTTTAATGTTAAATTATGGGAAACTTCAGGTCATTGGGCTAATTATCAAGAAAATATGTTTTCATTTGATGTGGAAAAGGAACGTTATGCCTTGAAGCCAATGAATTGTCCAGGTCATTGTCTTTTGTTTAAATCTCGTGAACGTTCATATAGAGAATTACCATGGAGAGTTGCAGATTTTGGTGTTTTACATCGTAATGAATTTTCAGGTGCTTTAACTGGGTTAACAAGAGTTAGAAGATTTCAACAAGATGATGCACATATTTTCTGTACTCAAGATCAAATTGAAGATGAAATTCAAAATATTTTTGATTTCTTGAAATATATTTATGGTATTTTTGGATTTGAATTTAAGATGGAATTATCAACAAGACCTGAAAAATATGTTGGTGAGATTGAAACTTGGAATAATGCTGAAGCTAAATTAGAAAGTGCATTGAACAAATGGGGTGGTAATTGGGAATTAAACCCAGGTGATGGTGCTTTCTATGGTCCAAAGATTGATATTATGATTTCTGATGCTTTGAAAAGATGGTTCCAATGTGCCACTATTCAATTAGATTTCCAATTACCAAATAGATTTGATTTGGAATATCGTACTAAAGATGTTGCTTCAGAAGATACCAAAGATATTGATAGACCAGTTATGATTCATAGAGCTATTTTAGGTTCAGTGGAAAGAATGACTGCAATTTTAACTGAACATTTTGCAGGTAAATGGCCATTTTGGTTATCACCAAGACAAATATTGGTTGTTCCAGTTGGTGTTAAATATTTTGATTATGCTCAAAAAGTTTCAAATCAATTGAAGGCCGAAGGTTTCTATGCAGATGTTGATGTTAGTGGTAATACTTTACAAAAGAAAGTTAGAACTGGTCAATTACAAAAATATAATTTCATTTTCATTGTTGGTGAACAAGAAGAACTTTCTAACTCTGTTAATATCAGAAATCGTGATATTGCTGAATTACAAAATAAGAATGAAATGGTTTCATTAGATACTGTTATTTCTCAATTGAAAGCATTAAAAGATGAAAAGAGAAATGACAATGCTTTATGAAGGCGTATATTTTGTTGTTTTGAATATAATAAATAGTATTAATTGAATATGATTGCTATGTATAAGATATTTCACCATTTGTTTGATTTCTCTTCTTCTTCACCGATATGTCTCTCATTTTCTAATAATTTTTCGAACTCATTTTCTTGCTCATCAAATGATTTTGTTTGTTCAGGTTTATAAACATTTGTAGTGAATGGATTAACTGGTTTCTCCTGTGTGGTAGTGTTGCTTTGCTGTTGTCTAACTTTATTCCATGCACTACCACCGCCACTTGTACCACTCTCTTTCATACCATTTTGTAATCTGATTTTATCCCATGAAGAAATATTACTTGTCCCTTCAATTTCACCTTCTTCCTTCACAGCTTCTTCTTGATCCTGTTTATTTTTCTTACCCTGTTGCATATCAAATCTAGGACCACTATACAACCCCATTGGATCTCTATTTTGCATCAATTTTCTATCTCTTTGCTTTGCAGCTTCCAAGGATCTTGGATCCTTCATTATATGTTCCGGATGATCAGCAGTTAATCTATAATACATCATCCATTTAACAGCCTCTGAAGGTTTCAAGATCTTGGCAACTTGATAACATTTTGAATTTGTATCTTGTAATGAATCAACTTGCCAATTGTATGAATATTTACTTGCAATTGGTGCACCAATAATCATACCTGCAAATCCCAACAAGAATGCACGACCAACATTCGTGCCCTTTCTTGAACCGGTTTTCAATTTTTGTCTATAAAAGGGGATAGAAGCCACAGCAAAGAAGGCACCCCAACCAAACACTAGTGTTGAATATGTAACTTTTGTATATAATTTGCCTAATAATTCACGATCATTTCTGTCTAATTGTTGATCAGCTTCATAGAATTTAACAGCCAAGTCCATGGCCTTTTGAGTGGCTGGGTCATAGACCTTATCTGTATTCAATTCTTCACTGGACATTGTGTTTCAATTGGGTTAGTTAAATGAAAATTGTAAAGAGATTTGATACTTTATGTCAAAATCTGATCATAAATTCGTAACCCTCGTAATTGGGAACGGCGGGCTTTGATGTCACGTTTACCCTCGAATATCGATTTCTCAAAATGTTGAAATCAGAACACGATTCAAGATTCAACAACAACAACAACAACAAATTTCATTAATCAAACATCAACAAAATGGATCACGACGGTGAGTAGCTGATCAATGATTTATTGGCTTTCATAATAACTAATCTCAATGTCAGAACTCTTCACTTTACGCCAACAATTCTTCACAGCACAATATGATAAAGTTGGTTCAATTGAACCAGAATCATATTTTGAAGAATCAAGAGAAATCGCTAGAGAGTATAAACTAAGGTCATTATTGGCACTAGGTAAATATGATCAAGTTTTGGATGCAGTTTCAGGTGGTAATGATGAATTTTCCAAGACTTTTACATTATATACAAATTTCTTAAAAGGGGAAGATGTTTCAAAAGATTTTGATTTATTAGTTTCATCAAGTTATCATAGTTGGATTGTTCAAATATTGGGATCTTTTTATTTGGTTCAAAATGAACGTTTCGATGAGGCTATTACATTATTGCAACGTCATGAAAATTCATTAGAATGTGTATTGTTGTTGACACAATTATATATTCATCAAAATAAATTGGACTTGGCTAAAAAAGAGGTTTCTCAAGCTTCTGAATATGCCCAGGATAGTATTATTTTCAATTTAGCTGAAGCATATCTAAACAGTGTTGAAAATGGTGAATCATTAAGAGGTGCATTATATTTTTTCGAAGAATTAAGTCATACAAATCCATCATATAGATCATTGATTGGTCAATTGGTTTTAAATTTACAATTGCATCAATTCCCAGAAGCTGAGGAAATTTTCAGACAATTGGATGAATTAGAAGGTGTTAATGATGATGTTTTAGCTAATCAAGTTTCATATGCAAGTATTATTGGAGATGAAGAATTAGTTGAAAAGAAAAGACAAGAATTACAAAAATCAAATCCAAACCATCCAACAATTGTTGATTATAATGAAAAAAATGAATTATTTGATAGTATAGTTGCCAAATATTCAGAACAAATAGTTAACTAAGTTCAGCCTTTTATCTATTCTAAAGCGTAGACATAATATTCAACAGCTAGTTTACCAGATTCACTTCTGGTAAATCTACCTTTCCCAATTAAATTCTTACCTTGGATCCAAGATTCTTCTTTATTTGACTCATCTAACGTGACAATTGGATGATTTGTAACATAAGACTTAGTGAAACCTGAGTCATTTGATTTTTTAAGAACAACATCAACAACTTGTTCACCTTGAATAACAACACCAGAATAAGCAAAATGGATACCACCACCGTTTTTCTTGGATTTTAAATACAATTGACAGTCTAAATTGGTTATAGTACCATCTCTACCAGCTTTAGTAGTTAAATTGTCAATACCAAACTCGACTTCAGTATCAAATGGGTATTTTGGGTCTAAAGTTTTGGTATAACCACCATTAAGTTTAACTAGAGTTAAAGAACCTTGTGCATTTTTATAAATTGGTTGAGGTTCATCAGCATCAACGTGTAAGAAGAATGCTGGTTTCAAAGAGGCGATTGAGGAAGGGTCAGACATGATTGATATAGTTAAAAGAAGGTGGGTTTGTTAAAAATATCGAGAACTGACTCCTTCTTTTATACTCGTTTGATGAAGGGCTTAAAAATATCGTGGTGGACTTAGCTGACTAAGCCTTGGAGGTTGGTGGGTTTAAAATCGGTTAAATCAATTGAAATTTAGTTGAATATTACTTTATTTGGTAATTGTTGAGAGAGAATAAAGTGCTCTTTCTTAATTATTTAATTGGTTATTGGTTATTGGTTAATTGTCAATTGTTATTCGTCATGTCTTTCAGGTCAACAACTCCAGCCAACAACATCCACAATGCCCAACAGCCTGAAGTGATCACGATAGACGACAGCCAGGAACAACAAATGGCGGAAGCTTATACCCATGACTCATCCTCGTTGCAATATCAAGAGGTCAACTACTCTCAACAGGCCAGGAATCAACGGTATCTAAACACTTTGGAGAACCAGGATCATTTGATATTACACGCGTTGTTCAGAAAAGATGTCAAGTTGAATATAGGGAATAATAATAACAATGAGTCTAATAACAATAACAACACCATCAATATGAAAACTATAGGGTCTAGTTATGACAAAGGCTACTCTTTGGCACGAGCTAAACATGATATTCTGAAATCAATGGTTGATAAGAGTTGATACAATAAACTATTAACCCAAGTAACCTAGCAAAACCATGGTAAAGAAGTTTGACCAAATCCGCTAAAGCAACTATATCAGCTAAAACAATATATCAACTAAAATTAACCAAATCACCTTAGATTATCCTCTACTTAATGAATTTATGACTATTTAAATGCTTCAATTCAATTTATTTAAAACCGTACTGATCTATTTACAGAACGCATTCGCGAACCCATAGTATTATCATTTTCAATGATTTTTTTGTAAGGAGAGAAACTTGAACATGAACTTCAACATAATAAAAACCCTCATTGAACTGCCTTATAAAATGCTTTCTTTGAGAAGATCAACTGTTCCATTAAGACAAACCTCTTTCATATCACGCAGACTCCAATCTGCCCTTTCCAAAGAATCAACCTCGACTCCAGATGCCCCTGCAAATGATTCAACTTCATTAAAACAAGCTCCAAATAGAGATTCAACTTGGTCAAGATCCCAAGCTTCAAGATCCCAAGTGTTGAACCATGCGAAATTCGTTCAAAAGGACCTATCCAAGCAACCACAACCTTATGCTGCTATTGACTTGATTGCCAAACAACCTATTCGTTATATCCCTGATAGAATTGCTGTATGTCAAGGTCAAAAACAATTGGGTCAAGGACATCCAAAGATTTATATCAATTTGGATCCTAAAAGACCTGCTACGTGTGGGTATTGTGGGTTAAGATTTGCTCAAGAGGAGTTTAAACAAGAAATTGAAGCTTCTGAGTAAACATCTATTTATTTATTTTATTTATTAGGGTGAACATAACACCCACTTATTTATTCAAATACTATTTATTACTCTTATTAAACTTGTATACTATGCAACCCGGATAACACTCCTAAAATAAAGATAACACAACTTAAATCAAATATAATCAAATTAATCAACTCTTGATATTTAACAACCCATCTAATTTTATCCTTCCAATAAGAAGGTAAAATCATATCAGGAACCATCCCCATTATGTTCAAAATCTTTGAATTGTAATTATAATGTGAATCTTTAATCTTGTTCAAATTCATTGCATATATCCCTGTGAATAAAATTTCAAAACTTGACCAAATTTCAATAAATCCTGAATCAATAGCTTTAATTCTTAGAATTTCAGAGCTAGAACTATGAAACCCTTTAAATTGATAAAACCAGATACTTAACCCCATCATGATAACAAGTCTCAACATCATAAACTTTGCCTTGAATTGATCATTCAAGATTTTATTATATTCACTCAATTTAGTTTCATATTCATAATCTTCATTATTATTATTCTGGCCAGAAGGTGGGAAAATACCAGAATCAGCACCTTGTGTTCCTAATAGTTTCGCAAAGATATCAAATTCAGAACCCTCGCCAATCCCTGCGGTTGTTGGACCATCATGTTGATGCTTTGGAGATGATAACATTTTTTCCAACATTTGTTCAAATTGTTTAGCATCTGAACTTGGATCAAGATCTTTCACTTCGTCAATAGGTTCGAATTTTGAAATATCTTCAATTTCTGGATCTTTATCATCAAAAGATTGTGATATTCTATTTGAAGATGATGATGAAGTTGTTGTGGCAGCAGGTGGTGCTTGTGGTGCTGGTGTTTGTTTTGGAACTTCTGAATAATCACCTGTGATTTTACCTAATCTTGAAGCACCATTCTTGATCTTTGCAGCTCTTCTTTCTCTAAGTCTTTGTCTTTTCTCAGCCTCACTTATTTCAGCCATCTTTAACAAGTACAATTGAGTTAAAAGTGATATTGATTCAATTCTACTCAATTGAATTTGATGTTGGAAAAAAAATAGATTGTTATGGGACACACCATGATAAACTACAGAAAAAACTCTTTAATATTTAAATTTTCATAATATTTAACTATTCTAAATTATATAATTCATTTCTTTAAATCACTTCCAACAATCTCTTCCCATGTCTTTCCCTCTTTTTGCAACTCTTCAGTCAATTCCTTTTTAATCTTGTAAACTAACCCAGGTCCTTTATAAGCAAAACTAGTATACAATTGAACATACTTAGCACCAGCTTTACCAAACTCCAAGACATCAGCACCTGTGGAGATACCACCACATCCAACAAGAATTAAATCACTACCCTGTGTGTATTTAGCTGCTGTTCTTAAGGCTTTTAATGAATATGGTTTCAATGGAGCACCTGATAATCCACCAGTTTGTTCAGTTAATGTGGATGATGATTTCAGTGTTGATGGTCTTTGGATCGTGGTGTTTGACACTATTATACCGTTGATTTTGGATTTCTTAGCAGAGTTGACAATTGATTGGATTTCTGATTCGTTTAAATCAGGTGCAATCTTGACAAGGATTGGAGTTTTAGCTTGAGCATTAATTGATAATTGATCTCTCTTGTTGACAATCTCGGTTAACAAGTTTGTTAATTTGGATTCACCTTGTAAATTTCTTAAGCCTGGAGTGTTTGGTGAAGAAACGTTAATGATTAGGAAATCTGCAAATTCGTTGAAATTTTCAACACCTTTTAAATAATCTTGCACTTCATCACCTGTTTTATTCTTACCAAGGTTGATACCCAAGATTTTACCATCTCTTAGAGAATTATTAACATTAACAACTTGAGGATTCTTTCTGAAAAATTTCTCCAATCTTTCCTTTAATCTAATAACAACATCAACATGACCATTTGAATTGAATCCATATCTATTAATAACAGCATCATCTTTAGGCAATCTGAAAAATCTTGGTTTTGGATTACCAGGTTGAGGTTCAGGAGTTATTGAACCAATCTCCACATAACCAAACCCAACATCAAATAACGGATCAATAATCTCACCATTCTTATCCAACCCAGCTGCAATACCTATTGGATTACTCAATTTCTTACCCAATACTTCGGTTTGTAAAATCTCATCATCTTTATCATTACGTAAAGTTGGTGATATACCCCAACTCATCAAGAATACACCTAATCTATGACCATCTTCAGCATCTGTCAAGTTACGAATCAATGGACAGATGAAGTATTCATGGATTGATGATTTGGAATCAAAACAATAATAAGTGAAAATGGAACCACCAATTAAAGCACCAGAGAATAACAAAGGGTTTGTTAAAAATCCATTTTTTAAAGGTTTGGAATAACTTGAACTGAAACGAGTTGAGGTTGATAGTCTCTTAAAAGATTGAGTGAGTGGGCGAATGAATTGTCTGTTCATTTTGAAAGGGGTCTATTGACACCAATAAAAGATTGGGAAAGAATGGTTTATTTTGTTTTAAAATGGATCTTAAACTTGTTTTATACTCATTGATTTTTCAAACCTCCTCGAGAAAAATTTGTGTTATGGGCCACATTGACATAAGCAGATGGAAGAAAAAAAAATTTTTTGAGATTTGAACAGAATCTGATGACTACACGAATGATTAAAATTAATTCATACAGCCATTAAATTCATAACACTTCTAAAGCTATTTGGTTATTCCCATGATAACTATCCCAAAATGAATCCTTATCAATGATCTCCACATTACAACCTTTTATAATAATTTGTTGAATTTCATCAAGATCTAAAATGTTTTTAGAAAAATCGGTTAATTTCAAATGACCAATGATTTTCAAAGTTCTTAAATTTGGGAAATTATTTTGTTGTAAACAACATGAAGTTGAAACAGCTGATGATATGAAAGATCTTTTAACAATATTTGAAGAATCAATAAGGTTTAAATCATAAGCATCTATATGTTTATTACTCAATTCAAATATTTTAAAAGTATCAAGATTTGGAGCATTTATCTTTTTAATCTTGGAAACATTACAATTCTTGATGATTAAAACTTGTAATTTAGAAAGATTATAATTTTGAATAATTTCTAATCCATCAAAATAAAATTCATTTTCATCCAAGTCTGAATTGTTATCATAATCATCATAATCATCAAAGTTGTCACCATCATCATCATCATCTCTTGATTTGATATAATTGTTACTATGCTGTGAATATATATCTTCTTCTTCATTCATATAATCTTGAAGTTTTAAATAAGTCACATTGGGGAAAGTTGATGGGAATTTTTGTAAATCAAGATAATTCAAGATTTCAAAATAAAATTTTGGTGAACAATAATAAAGATTTAATGATTCTAAAAAAGGATATGAAACATTTGGTGAAATTAATAAATGGTTACAATTACTTTTAACTTGTTTTAAATTTTCAAAAGTTATATCAAACCATGAAACAGGATGAGTTGATGATGGATCAATATGATTATTGAATAATGATTTAAACATTTTGAGATAATTCATATCAATTTCAGCCCCAAGATATTTGATACTAATGATTTTCTTTAATCTAATTAATCTTGCCAATAATTTATGGAACCTCATATATATGGATTCATCTTTGGAAAAGTTATGGATTTCGATCTGATAGAAATGATATTGTTTGAATATTGAATCTAGGGATAATTTATGATTGATTATTGATTGGATTGTGATTACATCAACATCTGAAGTATCCTCATTAACCATAATCTCATCATTATCAGTAATCTTTAGGGTGGATAGTTTTCTAAGCACTGGTATCTGAGAGATGGAGTGGTCTAGAGTCTTGTTGTCCAATTGTCTGACTATTTGTCTTAGCACTTCATTAGGTAAAGAGTCTATCATTGTATTTAACCTTTTGTTGTACTAATTATTCTTCATTATTTGAATTTTGAATCCTTTTCATTTAAAAGAGTTTTGGAATTAATGTAAAGTCACGGGACCAAAAATGTGGGGAAGGAAGAGATTATGTAAGAGATTATGTAAAGTTGAGCTATGTAAGATATTATGTAATCAATTTCCCTTACCCGCAAGTTTAGCCTGTTAAAATTCTGCAATTTTAAGAACATCTCGTCTTTAGCAATATCATTGCATGATCGAAATGAGAATATCAATGGACTTTAGGGAACATGTTTTGTTGTACATTTTTGATCCTACACTGGCTTTATGTTGTTATACTGATTAATTAGAGTGTTGGGTGGAATTGACAAGTATTGTATAATGTGTGTGTTCGACGTTTTGATATGCATTTCAATTATTGAATTAAATGGAATCAGCTATAGGTTTTATAGGAAGGTTGGTTGTGTCGGTCTAAATCTTCAAAATAGTTTTGAAGTTTAGGTCAGCATGATTTGTAAGTTTTGTTCAGATGAGATGTGTGCATTAACTCATTATTTCTCGTCAAAGTGAAATAACGTATAATTTAGACAGTGCAGAACTTCATTGAGCTTTTATTCATTTAGAGCTTCGAATTCTGATGGACTGATCAAAGAATTTGCCAGTTTATAAGAATCTTCATTCACGAGCTCTTCATTTGTCATCTGTTTCCAATAGATGCAATGAAGACGCTTCAGTAAATCACTATAGTTTTCAATCATTACAAACAATACAATTTAACTCCACCATATGGTACTGCATAATATTATTAGTAGACATGAATGAATCCCGAGTATCAAATTAGTTTATGCCTAAGTACTAGTAATATCTGAGAACTGTACATCAATATCGATAGACATATTATAATCAACTGCACCATAAACTATAAACTTATAAGAAATACAACAACATCAATTACCAATACTTCCTAATTCAACATGACCTTATTGAATTCATCAATACCACCCATTTCAATCCCTAGCTATTTGTCTTTGGAATCAACCAAATACTCAGATGATTTATCGGTTTATGCCACACCACCATTTTGGATTTTTCATGATTCGAAAAAAAAAAATTCAAACCTTTCAAGTTTTTTCAACAACACACAAACATTTCAGGAGAGGCTCTATGCACATTATGAATAATGAGGGCGATAGAGGATTACCTTGTCTGATTCCATGTTCAAATAAGTGACTAGTAATAGTTACATTGAGACTTTGCCAGAGGCACAAAGTGCTCATCGCTTTTCACTGCAAATTCGCAGGTTTGCCTCGCTTCAATAAAAGGTGATAGATTACTTTATGTTCATGTTCTTCATTTTGAATCGTATTATAATAATATTTTATGTGTCTTCAAGTACTATTAAAGTGGTGCTTTTAAGGAGTTCATTAGTTAATATTACCAATTATAATACAATTCTCCAAATCAAGAGACTCTTTGAGTTGTCATCTGTTTAAACCATACGGATGCAACAGAGTTGACTTGGTTTGGCTAACTTTTTTTTATTAATTTACAAATCATTGATGTAGATTTAACTACAATATATATCTCAAATTATTTCTCATTCATGATACTTAAAAGAATACCTTTTCAATTGTTTGTGATTTATTATTCATGAATTTAGCATTATCAAGAGCATGAAGTAATAAAGGTTCATGAATGTTTTCACTAATTAAACGACAAAGTTGTGATACTTTTTCTTTATCAACATCTTTAAGCCATAGTTTAGTTAAAAGAATATGTTGTTCCTTCATAATAAAACTTAAACCACAAACTTTATCTTTTAACGCATAAACATCTGGATATTCTTCACCATGAAATTTATCATCTAAAAAGATCCGAAGTAATGACTTCCAATGAGTATAATGACAATCTGAACTTTGCATTGCTAAAATACCTCCATTTTCAAATTCTTTTATATTTCTCTTTGGTTTAATCCCATCTTTGAAAATATGAATATGGAAAGTTTCATTGGATTGTTTGAATGACTTTTTATATTGTAAGATAGTTTCATTAAGTTTCTGATAAAGATATTAGTACTTTGCAACACATTCAAGGTTCAAAAGTATGTACTTACAATCTTTGAACAGATTGGAAACTCTTTTTTCAATCGTCTTTTTTCACTTGTTTTGGCTTGATCATTATCTAAAAATGTAACATTTGAAGCTGAAGTTCCAGGTCTTGAAACATTTGAAATATTTCTATGCCTAGTTAATAAATCTTCCTAGCCAAAGTGATCATTTCGGTATAATTCTCACTTATCACTCCACAAGTTCCACTTATACATCAAATCATAATTCTTTATCTTATCCAATGTCATATCTTTATCCCTTTTGAAATAATCAACTTGATCAGGATATATTGATAGAAATAATCTTGAAGGTGGAACATCATTAATAGGGACTTTATTTTCAATACTAGGATCACTCAATGGTTCAACATCTGAAATATATTGGTTTCTGATGGTATTATAATAAGTTTGCTGTTCATTGATTAATGATGAACCTCTGGTCTCTGTTGATTTGATTGTTTCATGTTCTTCACCAATCGGATCCATATTCAGTTGTTGATCTTCAGCATCTGCAATTGATTTAAGTTGTTCATCAACAGTAGCTCTACCACCACCACCACCACCAAATAAGCCAGCCAATCTTTCTCTGAATCTCAATGGGGATTGTGATCTAAAAGTCCTTGTCTTGGTCTCATCTATTGGATCATCATCAACTTGATAAACTTCATCTTTTGTTGATTCATCTAGGATCAACGGTGAGCTCAATAACTCGATACGTTCCACTTGAGGATCCAATTTGGTCATGATTATTACCTATCAAACCATACTGAAATATGAACCAATACATTTTTTTTTTCCACTGATTCCAATATTCACTTTTTATATAAAAAAGTTCGTGTTTGTATTTTTTTGACACTTTTTGTGCAACTACAAAATCAAATGTTACATAAGCGCTTATATAAACAATCTGACTAAGCGATGAGTTTAAAAAAAAAATTATACCAGTTGAAAATTTCTATGTACATTAAAACAACTTCAAGAGATCATAAACTCAAACTTCTAGAGCTTTCAACATGGGTAAATACACTGGTAAAAACGGTACCATAGAGAGGGAAAACTTGGACAAATTTGAAAGAAACAATGAATCTTTCAAGAAGTCTTCAAAATTCTCAAAAGATAAAAAATTAAAACATGGTTTACGTAAAATTGATGGACAATATAAAGAAGCTGTTAGATCAGCTGCTGCTACTGAAATGTTATTACAAGAAGATGCAGGGTTTTTAGAAGCCGAGGGGATGGAGAAAACTTACAAGTTTAAACAAGATGAAATCAAATCAGCAGTGGATCAAAGTACAGTTAATAAGGCTTTTGATTTGAAACTAAATGAATTTGGTCCATATACTCTAGATTATTCAAGAAACGGTACAAGTTTATTGATTGGTGGTCAAAAAGGTCATGTTGCCATGATGGATTGGAGAAAAGGTCAATTAAATGCAGAATTACACCTAGGAGAAACTGTTAATGCTGTTAAATTTTTACAAAATGATCAATTCTTTGCAGTGGCTCAAAAAAAATATACCTTTATTTATGATCATGAAGGTGCTGAAGTGCATAGAATGAAACAACATATTGATGTTAGACACTTAGAATTCTTACCTTATCATTATTTATTAGCCACTGCTGGTAATACTGGGTTTTTAAAATATCAAGATGTTTCAACAGGTTTACTTGTTAATGAAATTAGAACAAAATTGGGACCAACTACTGCAATGAGACAAAATCCTTATAATGCTATAATGCATTTAGGTTCTTCTAATGGTGTTGTTTCATTATGGAGTCCTTCTTCAAATGAACCTTTAGTTAAAATCCAAAGTTGTAGAGGTCCAGTTAAAAGCATAGCAATGGATAGATCTGGGAATTATATGGCTGTTGCAGGTACTGATAAGACTTTAAAAATTTGGGACATCAGAAACTTCAAAGAATTATACTCATACTATACTCCAACACCAGCTTCGAATCTTGATATATCAGATACTGGTTTATTATCAGTTTCTTGGGGTCCTCATGTCACAGTATGGAAGGATGCTTTCAAAACAAAACAAAATTCACCATATATGAATCATTTAATACCTGGTTCTCAAATACAGACGGTAAGATATGTCCCATTTGAAGATTTCTTGGGTTGTGGTCATAGTAAAGGTGTCACTAATTTAATTATTCCAGGTTCTGGTGAAGCTAATTTCGATGCATTAGAAATTAATCCATATGAAACTGCTAAACAAAGACAAGAATCTGAAGTTCGTTCATTATTACAAAAATTACCTGCAGATACTATTTCCTTGGATCCAAATGTTATTGGTACTGTGGACAAAAGATCAAATCAACAAAGATTAAGACCTGGTGAATTGAAAGAATTGGAAAAGAAGAAAGCTGAAGAAGAAGAAGCTAAATTGGAACCAAGACAAAAAACTAGAGGTAAAAATTCTGCTCTACGTCGTCATTTACGTAAGAAGGCTAAGAATGTTATAGATGAAAGAAGAATGAGAATTGAAGCTAATCTAAAGATTGAAAAAGAACAAAGAGCTAAAAGAGTAAGACAAGAGAAAGGATTGCCTGAAGAGAAGGAATTATTGGGACCAGCATTATCTAGATTTAAATAAAACTACTGTACAATAGAAAAAATATTTAGAGTATCAAACTCTCCTTCTTTTATTCATCTCCATATTTACATATCAATATCACCTTTAAAAGTCAAAACATCTTCGAATCTAGCACCATTTATATCTGACTTGACTAAAGTGGAATTAGCATCATCTAAAACTAAATCGACATTCTTGAAACCTTTCTTTGCAGCAACTAAAATTAAACCTCTTGATCTTATACTCTCCACTAAATCTGGCACTAATACTAAAAGTTCAGCTGGAACAATTATACCCAACAAATTATTTAATGTAGCAAATCTTGTAGCTTCTTTTATGGAACGTGTGGCAGAATCTTCGGTCTTGACAACCTCTGTTGAAAATTCATTAGCTGAACTTATCTGGAATTTATCATCAATGAAATGAACACCAGTAACATTGAAAAACACTGGATAATTTGGTTGTTTCCAATTCAAAATTGAACAAACTGATTGATTATTTGATGAAAATACAATTGATCTTGTACGTTTAACATTACTTGAACGTAAATCTCTAACATGATCAAAAACTGAGGTCAATACTGAATCAACAAATTTATCCAACTCAGCAGTTTCTGGTAATGTGATTGGAACTTCTTTGATTTCAGCTTCTGTAGGATATAAAACTTCAACATTCAAATTAACAAAGTCTGGTAATAATTTTAATATATCATCTAAAAAGATATAATTATTATCCAAAAACTGTTTCAATTCTTTAAAGAAATCACCTCTCGATTGTGTATCTGGGATAATGAAATTATTAACATCATACTTAGTGATTGTTTTCAATTGATCAACAGATAAATGGAATAATGAAATACTTGTTCCTAAAATGTCAATTTTCCATGACGGACAAACAATTGGAGTACCATCTTTTAGCATTGAAACATAAATTTTGGCATAATCACCAGATAATGAAGAAGCTGTAACGAAACTTAAAACGGAATTTTGAATACCAACGTTAACATTTGAATTACCGCTTGTTGATTTCCAATAAGTGTCATATTTAGAAATTTCCAATGGAGTACCAGAATATGGATGAATAACTTGGAAACCAAATCTTAATTCACCAACATTTTTCAAACGACCATCAAATAATGGCAAAACTGTTAAATTATTTAAACCATCATTTGAAACTTTAGTGAAAACATCTGATAATGCTGAAGTTTTGGCAATCAATTTGGTACCAAAAGATGGGAAAATTTCAAAATCAATGGAAAATTTATCCAATGAATCAATTTGGAATGCAACAGTGTTTTCAATGTCTGAAGCTGGTAATAAAATGTTTCTTGGAACAACATCACTGATTCTTGATGTGATGACAATTCTTCCCGGAAGTGATGAAATAACTTCATCTTGATTCAGTATTATAGAGTCTCTACCCAATGCAAAATGTAACTGAACAAAAATCTTCTTCTCTAAGAAATTATGACCATATCTTCTTAATGGAATGATTGGAGGTGGTAATGATAAATCTGGGATGGCATCAATGTTAAAAGTTTCAGCATTTAGTGTGAAACTTGGTGGATTTAAAGAAGGTGATTCTAAACCCTTTGGCCCTTTGGCTTCTTTTAATGGTGATAAAATATTTCTTGAATGTTTTTTATTTTGTAATTCATTAATCAAAACATTTAAAACATTTACATGACCTTCCCATGATGCATAAAACAAAGGTGTGAAATTTTCTTCATCTTTAACTTCAATTTTGGCACCAGCTTTAATCAAAGCTGCTGTTGTTCTTGGATGACCTTCGCTTGCAGAGTAGAAAATTGGTGGCCATTTATTGAACCCATCTAGTGCATTTGGATCAGCATCATTTTCAGTTAATAAAGGAACTAGTTGGAAGTTACCAGTTTTAGCAACAACATGTAAAGGTAATAAACCTTCTGCATCTCTTTGGTATTCTTTAACACTTGGTTTAGATAATAATAATTGAGCAGCTTCATAATTACCAGCTTTACAAGCAACATTTAATGGTAAATATTGTGGATGTTCTTCACTATTAGTTGGAGCAGGATCAGCACCAAGTTCAATCAATGCTTTGACAGTTTCCAAATGGTTTTTATCGATGGCCAAAATTAAAGGAGACATAGCATCATAATCCAATGCATTTAATTTTTCAACAGTAGCTGGTGAAGAGCATAATAAAGAAATTAAATCAGTTCTACCTAGTTCAGCAGCATAATGTAAAGGTAATCTACCACTGATATCTTTCAAGTTCAAGTTCAACTCTTGTTTAATACCCAATTCCACAACAAAAGTTCTTTTTTCAAAAGCATTACAACATGCTTCATGAATGATGCTTCTTTGTGATAATTCATCAGTGGTGTTTAAATTAATGGAGTTTTCTGCTTGATTATAAAATTGTAATAATATCTCGTCGGGTATTTTGGTGTTGATGGCTAGGAAAAAAATTTTTGTTAATTTGAAGTTTGAATTTGGTGACTCTTTGATTCTGCTAACAAATCCAGATAACAGGCTGTCAACTTTAGATGAAAATGCAATGTTTGTAAATTCTGAATATAGTTCATCAATTTCAGAATCATCAATTTGCATTAATGAAGCATGTGGTGGGTGATCAGATTTATCCCCTGGTGAATCAGTTGAGTTATTGTTGCTTAACTGTAAGTTGGAGAAATCACTGTATGTGATTGAATTGTTTCTTTGATCACCATTCCCTCCTTCATATTCATAACGAACGACGTGTTCGCCTTCAGCCTGGGCATCCAGCTCAACTAAAGAATTTGCACATAAATCACTTAATTGTGAAATTTCAGATCTGTTGAAGACAGGTTGAACAGAGACTGCTTTTGATAAATACAACTCTTTTGTATGAGATTTTGATCTTTTATCCCATTTTTTCAACACTTTTGAAAACCCAGTTTGATTCAATTCAACAAACTGTTCTAGTCTATCTAAATCCCTAGAAAACCTTTTAAACCCATCATATAAAGTGATGTATGCAATCGAAGTTTTAGAATCTAATCTATTCTTTGCAACTGCATCATTTTTCTTTTTGATAAGAATGTCTAATCTTATATTGAGATCTGATTCTTTTTCTAAATAGAATGCATTGACTTTTTCCAATTCCCTTTCTAGTCTGAAGAAAAAAGAAGTTCTGTTTTCTTGTAAAGTACGCTCAACATCAACTTCATTTGAAGCACCATGTGGCGGTCCTGCTAAAGATTTAATTAACTATTTATTTGTTAGTTTTTTCACAGTTAGTAGTTTTAAAATTCAAGCGTTAAACTTACTTTCTTTAAAGCTTTATAATTGATGAAATGACCAATATATTCGGGAAGCTCCAACTGCCTTGCTTCTAAATATTTACCAAATTTCCTTGATTCAATGTTAGTAAACAGTACTCAATTGGTATAATTGATAAAATCAACATACATCTTTCAAAGATTGTGAAGAAGGTTCAAAATTGTTTATATGAAAACGAATGCCAATAGTTCAAAATTGTGTTTTTTTTTCAAGAAAGAAACCTTCAATTGTAAAACAGGAATAGGGCTCACTTAAATTTTTTTGAGCTTCCAAGTGTAAAAATTTCCACAGCAGCACCTCAAGTTTGAAGATTTGAAACGTTTTTAACCAATTCTCAAATGATGATTTGTAGGAAGTAGCTTTTTTTGGATGATGGGATGTGAATTTGTGAGATGTAAAGTGATGTTATGTACGGCTTTCTTGTGTAAACCCACCAACTATTAGCTGTTCTCTTTGTTTGTGTTTGAACTCTGTACTTGATTGGGTGTTTCACCAGTCTCTCTCGCTAGCCAATGCTTCAGCTTGCCTAATTTGCCCGTTGAAATTCTTCCTTTCCCTTTGGATTGCCTTGGTTGAGTAACCTAGATTATGTATGCCAATTCTGTTTGTCAACAGCAGTATTTTTTTTTGTTTTCCTCTTTGACAGTAATAAACTTTTTTTTGACACACGTGCTAAATTACCAGGCTGGCGCGTAGGCAAGGCACCTTTGCCCACAAGGGATCTCCCAACCGGCGCCCTGTGCGTGTGCTTCCCAATTCTCTGTCTAGCTCTGTCGGACAATGTTTTCCAACTTTGACACCAAAAAACGGCCGACAACTCACTGATCAATTACTCACTCATCATACACAATTCACAAATTTCTATCAAATGTTAGTCTGAATTCATCCTGGCTCCAATGTTCACCTAGGCTTCCAAAAATTAAATGTTCAATCATTACTGTTGTTGTCTTGCGTTGTGGAGCCCAAGCACCGAGCGATCAAGTCATGAAGACTAGTATAGTTTTGCAAAACTTCAATCACTTCCTCCTCGGTAACATCCTGCTGTGATCCTAGATATACATCCACTAGTTGAATCAATAATTGAATCAATTGATCGGTTGTTATTAGTGTTTGATTTGTTGGATCTGTTAGCTTTTTGTAATTTTGAATAAGCTTCACCATTGATCTATTGTTGCTGAATAGATTAGTCAATAGGCTTTTGCTGTTACTCAACAACACTTTACTTCTGGTTTCATGAGAACTTTTCAAACAAGTTACTTGAATTTTGCATTTGAAGTCTGTGGATTTGGAAACTTCAAAGAGTCTTATTCCGTTAGTTTTTTAATAGAGAACCAAAGCATTGATTATACTCACTTTGCATTTAAGATGAAGAACTCCTCTGAGCTTAAACCATCCTCACTAAAAAGAACTATAATGGCCTTATCAATGTTTACAGCAGCAGATGAATAGTTTTCCAACTTGATCAATGATAATTTAGTCTTCAAATCATTTAAAAACTTGCTAAGCTCCTCTTTCAAGGGCATATAATCATCATGGGAATCCAGAAACAAATTATGATCAACCTTTAGAACCACATTTAGCAATATGGACCCAGTTAAATGGTTTCTTGTATGAGAATGTTCAATAATGTTCATAATGTTAACCGCTGGTGATGAAAAGCACCCTAAACTCTCGAAATTTCGATCAAACTCTTTAGACCACAAACAATTCCAAACTAAATAAGCCTATAATAAATATAATAAATATACCACTCAATTTTCCACAATCAACGCCTTTATAGCACTCTCAATTTCTCGAAAACATGTCAAAATGATCCAAAATCTGGAGTAAAGATACATATCAGTTTCGCGAAACTGTGTCCCCTTTTCAAAATGAATTTCAGATCGGTTCGCGCAACAATTTTAGAATTTTTCTTTTAGAAAAGGGAAAAACAAAAAAATGAAGTGTGTTTACTTTTATGAAACGCTTACATTTCATACGATAAAACCCAGTCGACTCAGTGCTTTCCAATCCGCAACTAGGTATTCAGGTTACAATTGGTGATATTTTGATAATTGATACTTGTGAGCGTTCCTCTAGTGTGTGCTGTGAACTCTTTTTTCTATCTACTCTTCTATTGCCCCCGTCTGATTTCTGAAGAAGATTTAAAGAAAGAATTGGTATGTTGTTATTAACTCATTAAATGCGTTTGATCTTGGATGAAATAGGTGTGATTCGAAAAGACTATATCTAGATACTGCACAGAATAATGGTATGATGATGATTGATTAGTTCGAGGAAGGATTTCCATATGAAACTTCTATGTTTGTCGTTTAGGGGTAGGTTATTATAATGCTTTGCATCTCAAATTGAATCACACCTAAATCATCCAAAGATAAAAACCCAGCTTTTTGATCAAGAACAAGGTTTACTAACTACTCTTTTTTTTAGAAAATTCACTTTCTTTCTTCCATTATTACGATTCATTGAAATTTTTTAGTCGTGCTCGGAAATTAGATCAAGAAAAGCATTATGGATTCTATCCTTGATTTCACAAAAGATTTAGATATCCAACTTTTGGATAAGGTTGTGGAAACTTTTTATGCAGGTTCAGGTCCTGACCAAAAGGTCGCACAAGATGTTATAACTAAATTTCAAGAACATCCAGATGCATGGCAAAAAGCCGATCAAATATTACAGTTTAGTTCAAACTCCCAAACCAAATACATTGGTCTTTCAATCTTGGACAAGTTGATTCAAACTAAATGGAAAATGTTACCAGATGAACAAAGAAAAGGTATTAGAAACTTTATAGTGAATATGATTATTGCGTTATGTGATGACGATGATCAATTCCAAAGTCAAAGATCTTTGATCAACAAGTGTGATTTAACATTAGTTCAAATCTTAAAACAAGAATGGCCAGAAAATTGGCCAACTTTCATTCCTGAAATTGTTCAATCCTCAAGAGCTGGTTTCAATGTTTGTGAAAACAATATGGTTATCTTGAAACTATTATCTGAAGAAGTTTTCGATTATTCTGCTGAACAAATGACACAAGCTAAAATAAAGAACTTGAAAACAAGAATGGGTGAAGAATTTTCTGAAATTTTCAAATTATGTTATGAAGTTTTAGATAAGGCAACTAGACCATCATTGATTGTCACAACATTGAAAGCATTGTTGAAATACTTACAATGGGTTCCATTAGGTTACATCTTTGAAACTGATTTGTTAGGTCTACTAACCAACAAATTTTTGGGTCCTGCTGATACAAGAGCAATCACTTTAAAATGTTTGACTGAAGTTGCATCATTAACTTCCCCAAATTATGATGCTAAATTCGTTGAAATGTTCAAGAATTCCATCTCTCAAATTGCTAACGTGGTTCCACCGGGTTCTGACCTAAGAAGATCTTATCAAGTCGCAAATTCAAATGATCAAGCATTTTTACAAGATCTTGCAATGTTCATCTGTACCTTTTTAGCCAATCATGTTTTAGCCCTAGAAGCCAATGAAGCTGATAGAGAATTATTAACAACTGCTCATGAATATTTGATTCAATTATCAAAGATTGACGAAAGAGAGCTTTTCAAAACTTGTTTGGATTATTGGGGTAAATTGGTCAGTTCATTGTTTGCAGAAATTCAACAATTACCAGCAAATGAATTATCACCATTGATGCAATTGGGATATAGTCAAGCTTTATCTTCAAGTAGTGCAGGTGGTGCTCCAAACCCAGAATTATTGAACAAATATCCATTGAGAAAACATATCTATAACAATATTCTATCTAATCTAAGATTGGTCATTATCGAATCAATGGCCAAACCTGAAGAAGTCTTGGTTGTTCAAAATGATGAAGGTGAAATTGTTCGTGAATTTGTTAAAGAAAGTGACACCATCACCTTGTATAAAACAATGAGAGAAGTTTTGGTTTATTTGACTCATTTGGATGTTGTCGATACTGAACAAATTATGAATGAGAAACTAGCTAAACAAATTGATGGTTCTGAATGGTCATGGCACAACATTAACACTTTATGTTGGGCTATTGGTTCTATTTCAGGTACAATGAATGAAGAAATGGAAAAGAGATTCTTGGTTTCTGTTATTAAGGACTTACTAGCTTTAACTGAAATGAAACGTGGTAAAGATAATAAGGCCGTTGTTGCTTCAAACATTATGTATATCGTTGGTCAATATCCAAGGTTCTTAAAAGCTCATTGGAAATTTTTAAAGACTGTGATCAACAAATTGTTTGAATTCATGCATGAAACTCATGAAGGTGTCCAGGATATGGCTTGTGATACTTTTATCAAAATCACTTTGAAATGTCGTCGTCATTTTGTCGTTCAACAACAATATGAAACAGAACCTTTTATTGACGAGATTATTAGAAACATTCAAAGTATTACTGAAGATCTACAACCTCAACAAGTTCATACTTTCTATGAAGCCTGTGGTTATATCATTGGCGCTCAAACTTCTGTTCCTGTTAGAGACCGTTTACTGGGTGATTTGATGCATTTACCAAACTTGGCTTGGACTACTATTGTTGAAAAAGCTGGTCAAGATCCTACATTATTGACAAATCCAGAAACTGTCAAGATTATTGCTAATATTATCAAGACAAATGTTGCAGTTTGCTCTTCATTGGGTCCAGGTTTTTATGCACAACTGGGATTAATTTATGAAAATATGTTGTCATTATATAAAGCTGTTTCTTCAATGATTTCAGACTCAGTTGCAGCAGATGGCTTAATTGCTACAAAGACTCCAAAAGTTAGAGGTTTACGTACTATCAAAAAGGAAATCTTACACTTGATTGAAGCTTACATTTCTAAAGGTGAAAACTTGGAACAAATTGTTGGTACTTTAGTTGAACCATTATTAGCTATCATTCTAGAAGATTATAAATCAAATGTTCCTGATGCTCGTGATGCTGAAGTTTTGAACTGTTTGACTACTGTTGTTTCAAAAGTTGGTCACATGATTCCAGAAGGTGTTGTCTTAATCTTGCAAAACGTTTTCGAGCCAACTTTGGGTATGATAACCAATGATTTTACCGAATATCCAGAACATAGAGTTGAATTTTATAAATTGTTGAGAGAAATTGATTTGAAAGCTTTCAATGCCTTATTACAATTATCTGGTGATGCATTCCAATTATTAATTAATGCTATTTTATGGGCTTTCAAACATAACAATAGAGAAGTTGAAAGTAGTGGATTGAGTTTAGCTATTGAATTATTGAAGAATGTTGAAAAATTAGGCACCACTCCATTCACTACAGCATTTTACCAAAATTTCTATTTCCCAATTTTGGCAGATACTTTCTATGTTATTACTGATTCTGATCATAAAGCTGGTTTCAAATCTCAATCACAATTGTTATCTAAATTGATTGAATTGGTTGAAGGTGGTCACATCAAAGAACCGCTATATTCAGAAAGTCAAGCACCAGCAGGCACTTCAAATGCTGTATTCTTACATGAATACTTGGCCAATATGTTGATTTCTGCATTCCCTCAATTGCAACAGGATCAAGTTGAAAACTTCATCAAGGCTTTGATTGCTCAACATCGTGATCAAGTTAAATTCAAAGGTACTTTACGTGATTTCTTGGTTCAAATCAAGCAATATGGTGGTGATGCAACTGATTACTTATTTGCTGAAGATCGTGAATATGAACTTGCTGAAAAACAACGTTTGGAAAGAGAAAAGGCATCTAAGGTTGGTGGTTTATTGAAACCATCTGAATTGGATGATGAATAAACAGCATTGATTTGAGTTTCTTTGGTATTTCGAGCTGATTTTTTTATTGTGTGCATTGGTGATAGTTTTTAGTTTTTTTTTAATTATTAGTGCTTAAAAATGATGCTTGAGTAAAAGAAAACATGTTGATTTGTTTGTTTAATTATATTCTCGTAATATAAACTTTATTGATTTGATAATCGTATAGACCTACATGTAGTGGAAGCTCGATCATTAAAAAAAAATCCCTATATTTACAAGTTTTGGTCATAAATTATATACTTCTAATTTTTGATTTGTTTAATAGCATCTTGAAGTTTAACAAATCCATTCTTTGGGCCAGGAACACCACCTTTAACCAATAAGAATCCATTTTCAGCATCAACTTGAACAACTTTAACATTTTGTTTTGTATTATTTTTATTACCCATATGACCAGGCATCTTTTTCCCTGGTAAAATACGACCTGGATCTTGATTAGCACCATAAGAACCACCATGTCTATGCATAACAGAAGTACCATGGGAAGCTCTTAACCCACCGAAATCCCAACGTTTCATAACACCTGCGAAACCTTTACCTTTTGAAATACCTTTGATATCTATTAATTGACCAACATCGAAATGGTCAGCTTTCAATTCAGTACCAATTGGTAATAATCCAGATTCATCTTTGACTTGAAATTCTCTAATACATGATTTTGGATTCACTTGAGCACGAGCGAAATGTCCTAATAATTGTCTTGTTGTTTTATATGGGGATTTTCTACCATAACCTAATTGAACAGCATAATGACCATCAGTTTCTGGAGTCTTTGTCAACAAGACTTCAACACTGTCAATTTCCAATAAAGTAGCACCAAATCTTTCACCGGTTTCTTGATCAAAATATGGAACCATACCACGTTTAATGGCAATAAGACCTGCGCGGCTTGGTAATCTTCTTCTTAGTCTAGCTTGTTCTTTAGAATGTTGAATTGATGGAGTTTCTGATGGAGGTAAAACTGCACCTGGAGAGGTTAATGAAGCCCCATGACGGACAAATTTTGGATACTGGCGAGTTGCCAAGGGTAGTCTCTTTGTGAGCAAGCTGGTTATCCCCCATATACTGCTCATTTTGTGATGTATATCTGATATTTGATGACCTTTGATATTGATCTTTGATGTTGAAGTTTCCTATATTTTTCAGCGAAAAAAAAATTGGCCTGTGAATTTCCGGGTAAAATCTGAAAAATCGCGAAACTTGTTAAATGGACAATATATCATCCTTAATCTTAGGTTATTTGCTCCAATTCTACATAAATCACTTGATGGTTCGAGTATTATCTCCCATAATTCATGTCTATTTCATCTATGTACATGTTTTGCTTTTTAATCAGGAATGAAGTGACGATAATTGTGAATCAAATGGTGTATGAGTGTGTGACTTTTTTGGTTCATGAAAAGTTATATAAATATCATACAAGTGCAATGGATTTGCAAAATAACGGAAACAATGCAATCATTTGATCTTCTTATCTTTGATCTTGATAGTTTCATCATCAACATAAACACCCTTACCTTTATAAGGTTCTGGAGGATGGAAATCACGTAATTTAGCTGCAAATAACTTCACTTTTTGTTTATCAATACCTTCAATAATAACTCTAGTTGGTACGGGCGATGAGACTGTTAATCCTTCTGGGACTATTAAACCTTGAGTAATAGAAGCACCAACTTTCATTGCAACAAATTTTTCACCATTTGGTCTATCTTCAATTTGTGCTCTGTAACCAGTACCGACCAATCTCAACATTGCTAAATGACCTTCAGTGACACCTGTAACATGATTGTTTAAAACGGCTCTTGTTGTACCCCATAAAGCCTTTTGTTGTTTATCGTCTTCATTTTCAATCTTTAATGATAATTTCTCACTATTTTTAATAAAAGTTAAGAAATCTGGCACATTTAATGATAATTCACCTTTTGGACCAGTGACTTTAGCAGCTTTTGTCATGTTCAATACAGATCTACCTTTTCTTATGATTATTGGTTCTTCACGATCAATTAATTCAACTTTAACTTCTGAAGGTAAGAAAATTGGGGATGACCCAATATATGATGGTCGTAGCGTACTGCTTGAAAACAGTCTCTTTGAGCACTGTAGAGAGGATCTTATGCTGAACATTGTGCTATTGGAAAAAAGCCTCTATCAGATTCAAACTTTCCAGATTATTTAGACCAAATCTATAGTTTTTGGTTAATTTTTCAACATTTTCCATGAAAAAAATTCGCGAAATGTTCAAATGCCGGGTAAATCCATCGCAAAAATTAAAAAATTATAGTGTATAAACTTTCTGATCTTTAATACCCAAAACTTTGCAAACATCTTGAAGAAAGAACATATAACACAACCTTCAAAATGGTTAGAAAACTAAAACATCATGAACAAAAACTTTTGAAGAAAGTTGATTTCCTTGATTGGAAGCAAGATAATGGACATAGAGATGCTCAAGTTATGAGAACTTATCATATTCAAAATCGTGAAGATTATCATAAATATAATAAAATTTGTGGTGAAATTAGAAAATTAGCTAAGAAATTATCAGAATTACAACCAAATGATCCAGTGCGTATAAAACATGAACAATTATTATTAGAAAAATTATATTCAATGGGTATACTATCAACAAAATCTAAAATATCAGATCTTGAGAATAAAGTCAGTGTTAGTGCAATGTGTCGTCGTCGTATTGGTGTTGTTATGTGCCGTATGAAGATGGCCCAGAGTATTAAAGATGCTGTTACGTTTGTGGAGCAAGGACATGTTAGAGTTGGTCCTAATGTTATAACGGATCCTGCATTTCTTGTGACTAGACAAATGGAGGATTATTTGACTTGGGTTGATGATAGTAAGATTAAAGAAAATGTTTTGAAATATAGAAACAAGATTGATGATTTTGATTTGGCATAGGTGAGATTGAAGTGTATATTAGGTTTAAAAAATGGGCATTAATAAAAGTGATACTACAAGATGTTGTAAAATGATCTAGAAAGACATGACATGAAGGGGAATAAGTAAATGACTAAATAACTATAAGAGTATGATAAAAGGAGAGAATGAAAAAAATAATGACATGAAACCATTTTATGCTTCAGAATGTAAAAATTGTAATAAAGGAGAAATAATATGGTCCTTGAAGAAAAAACACTCACAAATCAAACAAAATTGTAATTATCACTAGCACCTAACTGTTTTCTTAAATCAGCTTGGGAACCAGATCTTGGTAATTCAGCAGAACTTGGAGCCTGATAAACATCCTGACTTGTATATGCAGATTGACTAGTTAAACTTGCATTTCTTGAACTATTTGCACTATTCATCTGTGAGAATGAACCTGCAGGTCTATAGATTCTTTGTTTACCAATCTCCACAGGGTTCATCATAACAATACTTTGTCTAATATGATGAGGTGAAGGTGGTGTAATGTTTCTATCTCCACTAGAACTATTGAATGATGCTTGAGGTTGTTGTGGGAATTGTTGTGATGGGGGTGAGATTGGTGAAGTTGGGGTGAAAATTTGATCAGAATAATGTAATGGATTGAAAGGTTTTATACTCAAATCTGGTTTCTTGTTACCTGTAGTTAATGATTTCTTTGGAGCATAGTCAGTTTGGGTAACAATAGAGTTATAATCCATTTTGTTTGGTGTTGGTAATGATTGTAATGGTTCTAATGGTGGTGGCGCAAATTGTGGTGGTGGCGCAAATTGTGGTTGTGGAGATGAAGGTTGTGAATGCTGTTGGTATTGTCCTTGTGGATATGGTGGTTGATAAATATGTTGTTGTGGCTGTTGTTGTTGGGGATGATAACGTGGATTTTGTTGATAATATGCTTGTTGTGGTGGTTGTGGTTGATCATCAAATTGTGCTAATGGGATGGTTGAATATATTGAAGAAACAGCTCTATGTTTAGCAGCAGATGCACTTTCATCATTTTGTTGTGGAGCAACTGAAAGTAAATTACTGCTTGAATTTTGCTTTGGATCTAGGCTTGAAAGAGAAGTGTTTGCTTCATCTTCATTTTCATAAACTTTTAATTCAGGTTCTGGTAATTGTTCAGTATCAACTTTTGGTAATGGTGGAATATCTGATTGTGGAACATTTGAGTTTGGTTTCTTGATTGAATTTTCTCTATCAAAATAAACTCTATAAACACTCTTCATTCTTTTAATATCTTCATCTTCCTCTTCCTCTTCCTCTTCGGCATCTTTTAATGGGGCACTGACTGTGACTTTTTTAACAGGACTAACTTCTTTTGATTTTGGTTCTGGTAATTCTTCAGCACCTGTTTCTTGTTCAAATGAGTTTGTTAAAACTTCAGGTTCATCGATATAAGACAATTCACTATTTTGTCTATAATGTTGAGATTGACGTTTATCAGCACCAGAATTTGGATCTAAATTATCATAAGAATCTTTGTAATCATCATCATCAGTTGAAGAACTTTCACGGTTTTTACCTAAAGGAGAATCACCCAAAACATTTTCAGTATTGAATTTACTTTCACGATAAGATTGAGAAGAATCAGTTGTTGTTGGATCTTCTAATGAATAAGTCTTTTCAGTCAAATTTCTAACATTCTTATTGGTGGAAACATTGATTGAACTTGAGTTTGCACTTCTATATGGAGAATTTGGTCTTGAAGTGATATGATACGCAGGATATTCCGACCCCATTTCTTTGGCAAATTCATCTAATGAATGATGGGAACCAGTATTGTGTTGATAAGGCAATTTGAAAGATTCATAATATGGATCATTGCGAACAGTTGTGCTAACAGATGGAGCTCTATTTTGGTTTTGATTCAACATATCTGGATGATTTAAAACTTTTGAAGGATAACGAGCACTATCATTGGCAAAAGGGTTTGAGTAAAAGGAAACACCATCATCTTCATCAAATCCATTATTATTACCACGATTAAATCTATTTGGATAGTCTGGTAACATTGTAGTTTCACCATAGAAATCAGGATCATTATCAGTTTCAGATTCTTTTTTACCCTTTTTATAAGATCTCCACACGAAGAATCCAATAATTATTGCAAAGACAAAGACTGGGATACCAATAGATAAACCAACAGTAAGACCTGTGATGTTTGTACCAGTTTCACATCGTTGTTTATCTGTACATTTTGATGATTTTGAACTTGAAGAAGATTGTGATTTTGATCCAGAATCTGAACCTGAAGACTTATCAGTTAAAATTCTTGGTTCAAGGTGGACAAAAGAAGTAACCATAGTAGTTGTTGAGCTAGTGATTGGGTTGAATGTATTCAACGAAGTTGTTGATTGTATTGGAATTTTATAAGACATAATTTTCTTTCTTTCTCTATCTTTGAACTATATGACGGTACTTGAAGGCATAAACAGGGGGAAAAAACACTTGAGCAAATGATATATCAACAATATAGACCAGTATTTAGACTATTTCATAAGTATTGGGTAGTATAATAGTTGAGTAAACGAAGGAATCGACGCGTCTATAACCTCAAAAACTTTTCAATGTTGTACCGAGAATGATGTTAAAGCAGCAGTGACTTTTGGAAGCAGATGAGCAAAACGAGTGTTGGGAATGGGGAGGAATGTCTAAAGAATGGATAGCTCTCTTCTTTTGCCTCTTCTTCTCAGCCTAAAGTATACAAAAAGAAGCTTTGACTGAGGTTTATCCGTGTTGTTTGTTTTTCTTTCACAATCCTTTTTAGGAGCTCGAAAAATCAAAAAAAAAACTCGATCTGAAAAAAACAAAAAAGAAAGAAAAAAAAAACGGAAATGCACCGATTTTCAAAGGCACATTTTTCGATTTTTTGCGTGGAATTGGATTAGTTTCAGTTCAAGTTTTGGTGTATGGTGTAGGTTGATTAGATCGTAGGAGGAGGGGTTGGTGAGGGTCTTGTCAAAGACAGGCTCGTTTTACGCGTTTTTGGTGGGCTGAAAATCAGTTGTTAAGGCTTGATTTAACAATAGGATGTTCACTAAAGTCTGGAGAATTAGAAAAGCTTAAAGCAGTTAGGGCTGAGCTTTTATTGGTCGTGAATCTTCAACTACGCGTAGTAAATTAGCCCAATTCATGTCAAAACGCGGTCTCTGTTTATTCAAGTGTTCTAGATTCCTTTCAAGTTAACATCTTCTACAGCGAAGTTCTATTAATGGAACTGAGACATTATTAGGTACTCAACCAAAATCTATTGGAATTTTAGCCTAATTCATCGTTCGTAATTAATCACATTGCATTCTTTTAAAGATCAAATCATGTTCTCATGATCCAAGTTTAAAAAAAAGTAGGTTGATCAAGTTCATAACGAGTTTTAACACTCATTAGAAAGTGAGAGATTGTTCCAAAAAATGTCTCGACAGCCATTAGCGAAGACAATACCCGGATGGTTCTGGTAAAAGGCAAGAACCATGTTCGATATAAGTTTTAATTTGATATTGATCTCCTGGCTGGTGAAGAAGGGGGAAATGTTAAAGTGGAAGGAATTTGTTCAATTGGAAATTTTTTTTTATAGAGACATGGATTTTCGCGAAGATGTCACCCTGTTGAGGAGGGTAAATGTATGGACTTTTGCAGTGTATTATGGTGAATTTATCTACAAAAAGGGTGGTGGTTTGGATATTTGTAATGTTTAATTGGTTTATATGAGTGTTGTCAGATTATGATTCTGCACTTTCATCAATTGGCACAGTTTCATCACGCATCTTCCATAACAAATGTAGCAACCGTTTGATCAGCCCTAATTGATTCTGTATATTGATTAGGATCACTTCCTAAATAAATAATAATAAATAGTCATTATGTTCAATGAATAAATAATAAATAGATAAATAAATAAATAATAAATAAACTTTTAATAAGCTTTTCTTGATGGCTCATACATCTTGGATTCCAATTCTCCAAGAATACTCAACTCCATCTGTTGAAGTTTCCCCCAAAAGGAAGTCTCATCAATATTCAAACGCTTTTCATTTCCACCATGATGAACGATTTGTATAAATTTTTGAAACTCATTCAAATTTTTCACAGTAATCTGGTTCATTTCAGATAATTGATGTTTTATAAGTTCACATTCATTCAAATCATTAGCTACTCTTGCCACATCATAACGCTCAATAGCACCTGTCAGCATAGATGTTGGCTTTTCAAAATATGGCTCGGTGATCAACACAACCTTCATGCCCAATTTGAAAGCCAATGTTGTTAATGATTCAGCCTGCGTGGGAGAATTGATCAAGAAATAATCAGTGGATCTTAGGCGACATTGACCTTTCAAATAATCATTAATTGTGAATGCATTCTGTGCATTCATCAATGGTGATAATGGTTTACTGAAATGACATTTCAACAAAACATTAGATCTTTTCCCCACATGATATAGTAAGTTATCATAATGTTGATCCATAACACCAACAGTTTTCAGATAATCGCTTCTTAGGATCCCAAAACTTGAATCATTATCATTTGCAATAGATTGTAAAAACCCAGAACAATCATCTCGAAGTTTTAAATTACTTGAAAGATATGACCGTATTTGATTAACAATTGCAGCATTTGTGAAATATTTCCCCAATTCATAATCTTTTAGAAACGGTTTATAAACTTTGCGATACAGTGATTTCACATCATCATCATCTTGAGCATCCTCGATGGAATCAAGCATAACGTTATGGAAACTTTTCTCAAGTGAATTTCTTTGTAAATGTGGAATCAATTTAGTAGCTTCAGATTTCAACACCACTTTGTTGATTATTGACGTTTGTTGAGGGAAGTCAAACAGCACAGGCTCGTGGATGTGGAATCTCAGCTTGGGTCTTTTCAACAGCGACGCAGCTGCTCCAGAAAACACTTTTGTGCTCATGATGCCCCTTTGACATTCAGTAATCCTCTTTGATGCTTTCTGTTTCCTTCCTCCTTGTTTTTTGGTATTAGCCCAAGTGCTTCAAACCAATCTATTGACGATGAAAAAAAAAACCATGAACCATAAACAACAATCCCAATAAACCACTTCCACTCACTCCAAAAGATGCCTAGAGACCCTTTGATTGGTATAGTCGGGAAACCATCAAGTGGTAAATCCACAACGTGAGTTACCTTCCCTTTCTTCTCCTACAAACTCAAATTATATCTAACAAGTATCCATCCAGTCTAAACAGTTTAACAGATGCTGCAGTGAAAACCGGTGCATTCCCATTCACAACCATCGATCCAAACAAAGCCACAGGGTACCTAAAAGTCGACTGTGCATGCTCCAGATTCGGTAAGGAAGCACTATGTAAGCCAAACTATGGATGGTGTTCCAACGGTAGTAGACATATCCCAATCCTGTTGTTGGATGTTGCAGGATTAGTTCCTGGTGCACATATGGGTCGTGGGATTGGTAATAAGTTCCTGGATGATTTACGTCAAGCAGATGCCTTGATCCATGTTGTTGATGTGAGTGGGTCGACTGATGCGGAAGGGAAGGCCACGCTGGGGTATGATCCATTAGCTGATGTTGAGTGGTTACAAGATGAGATTCGTCTTTGGATTGAAGGTAATTTGGAGAAGAGATGGGGAAGTATTGTGAGAAGACATACTGCGACAAAGTCGAGTGTTGTTGATACCTTGTTGACTCAGTTTGCAGGTTATAGTGCCAATGGACAAATGATTGCAAGGGCAATGGATCGTGTTCCAGATGTTGGGAAGTTAGAAGATTGGAATAAAGAAGATATAACAAGAGTGGTTAAGGCTTTCATGGATGAGAAATTCCCAACTGTGTTGTCATTAAATAAGATTGATCATCCGGATAGTGATAAAAATGTTTCCAAGATTTTGTTAAAATATCCAAATACAAAAGCTGTCCTAACTAGTGCTATAACTGAAGTTTTCCTCAGAAAATTGTCAAAGCAAGGTTTTATCAAGTATGAAGAAGGTACTGAATTCATAGATACAAGAGAAGATTTACCAGATGATGAATCTTTAAAACCAATGGATGAAAAACTATTAAACAGAGTGGAAAATATAAGAGATTTAGTTCTTTATAGATTTGGATCAACTGGTGTGGTGCAAGTTTTACAAGCAGCTACCGAAGTTTTAGGCCTAGTTCCTATATACACTGTGCGTAATATCTCAAATTTCACAGGTTCAAATGGTACAAATGTTTTCAGAGATTGTACTTTAATTAGAAAAGGTACACCTGTTAGTAAAGTGGCAAGACATATAATGGGGGAAGTTACCATTGCAGCCATTGAAGGTGTTGGAGGTGTTAGAGTGAGTGAAGATGATACGATAGATGTTGGTAAGAATGATATTTTATCATTCAGAGTTGTGCCTGGTGGTGGAGGTAATTAGAATAGATTGAAATGCATGTCATTAAAGAAGGAATATATATAAATGTATCATTACAGTTTGGTCCCATTGAAGCCAACTTCAACGTTTGAAATTTGATCAATATTGGCCTTCATTTGAGAATCTTGATCACTACTTGAGTCTTGTTTACTATAACCCAATTCTTGATCTTGTTCCCTTTCAATAACTTTACCAATATATTTCTTCATTATTGGGGAAGATAAATCTCTATGGAATTTTTCAGGTCCAATCAACACAATGACAAAAGTATAAATGAAAACAGCACCAGTTAAAATAGCCATGACTTTAGCATAATCAAATCTAATTGCTTTACCAGTTGAATCAAATTCCAAAGGATACTTATTAGCCAAATTAGTTTCAATAGTGGATGAAGCAGCACTTGCTAAATTACCCAATTGATAAGCTAAACCTGAAACCAAGGCTCTAGCATCTGGAGGAGATAATTCAGAAAGATGAATTGGGATAACACCCCAAACACCCATCACAGCAAAGAATTCAGCAAATCCACCACCCAATATAGCACTTGAATTATGCAACATATAAGCTGGATAAACAAAACAACCACCAAGAATACACACGACTAATAAAGAAAGACGACGTCCTAAAACCTCCATGACTAATCCAGTTATTAAAGAACCTGCAATGGCACCTAAATTAACAACAACAATGGCAACGGTGATTGCATCTTCAGACATCTTCAATTGTTTTCTAAGCATTGATGGATAAAGATCTTGTGAGGCATGAGTTAAATAATTACCGCCAGTAAGCAACAAGATTAAATAAATAAACATCAACCAATTTTTTTGAGTTAATGACCAAACAGTGGCCATTTTGGTTTTGAAATTTGGTTTGACATAAACACCAGCTTTTTTTTTATCTTCAATGATCAACTCTCTAGCCTTTTTAACACGTTGGAAATATTTAGTCTCAGGGAACATTAATCTCCAAACAATTAAACATGCAGGGATACCAGATGAAAACCAAAACAATGCCTTCCAACTATGCTGAGTATTTTGGAAAGCTCTCCAGAAAATCGTGGCAAATATAAATCCACAAGCATAAGCTGAAAAAAACAATCCAGATAGGAAAGATCTAGCCTTGACAGGAGAATCATCTAATGAAGTGGCTGCACTACATGCATAAGTACCACCCATTGAAACACCACTTAGAGCTCTAACCAATAGGAAAGTTTGATAACTCTTGACAAACCCAGTTGCAATTTGTAACACCATAAACATCATTGCACAGAATATGAATGGCCATTTTCTTGAATAATTATCAGTCCAATAACCAAATATAATAGCACCACTTGAACGAACCATCAAGACTGCACTGAGCCCCCAAGTTATATCAGCAGTTGTTACGTTTAAACTCTCTGCAATTTTAGAACCAGCAACAGAAGTGCAAAAAAAATCAAAAGATGCAGATAACCAAGCTAAAAAACCCATAAAGAAATAATTCCAATTATTTGCAGACATATCTTTTAGATCAATGAATGGGTTTAAGTCTTTTAGATTTACAAGTTTAACCTCCATCAATGAAGATATTCTTGTTATGCAATATTGTCCCATGTTGGCTAGTGATAAATCAGGTTCTTCATCAGATTCAACATGTTCAGGGACATCTTGATGATCTATATTTTTGAAATAACTTGAAGCCTGTGATCTGATTGTGTGTAGTGAGTTTCTAGTTTCATGACGATGTAGTTCATTAGTTGTCATTGTGGAATATTTAGGCGAATGTATGATGGTTAAAACTTTCCCCAGATTTCAGATCCTGAGATCATAATGTCTTTATATACGTCTTGACTACCTGGAGAATAACGTTTGCAATGAAGCTTCGCATCCGGCAAAGTCTATCCAGTCACTGGTATTACTTTCTTGTTAAAGTTCATAGTTTGATACACTTTGAAAGTGACTTGTATACGGGCATTCGGGGTGCGTTTGTATAGATGAATCCAAACGGGTAGTGCTAGCCTCTGAGCTGTTGCAAATAGGCTGTTGTAACTCAAAGGGGAAGGGTCTAAGCACAACGGTTGAGATGTGTCAAGGTTGAAGTATATGATAATGACAAAGGTAATACCAATGGTCTGTTGAATCAAATAACTATGCCATGGTCAATAGTCACCTTCATCAACTCCATAAAATATAATTGTTCTCGAGGACTTTAGCACTTGACTCAAAAGACGTGGGGGAGTGTCCCTCGGTGCCACCACGACTCATCTCTATAACGTTAACCAAGAATAATTAAATAGGAGCAACGGCTAGATGAGACAGAAGAAAAGAAGAAGAAGAAGAGATGGTGGTGGAAGGTGTAATCTATGGTATCTATGGTCCATGGCTTATGTCTTGAGTCGTAAGATAGCCATCTTGTTTATGATTTCAATTTCAACTACACCTTTGGTAAAGCCGACCCTAAATACCAATATTGTCGCTTAACAAATATCGAGCAAATGACCTTGGAACATAAAAGGCACTTCCAGAGTCCAGACTTCCAGTTGACGGAGCCTTTTCAAAATGCTCATCCTTGTGCTTTTTGGGTGTGTATTTCACCTTTCTACTCTCAAATGGCTCATCAAATATTTTACAGTGGATTTTGGACCCTTCGTGAGAGCCTCTCTAAGAAAGAGTAACTTTTGAATAGGTTTATGAGCTAGCTAATTATACTCAACTACAAGTGAATTACTTGTAATAGTGTGCTTGGAACTAATAGGTCACGGAGCTACGATCAAGAACACTCAACCACATCTAGAGTACTTCAATATCTGTGTCAGGATCATATTTTAAAAGCTTACAAAAGAAACCACTTTCTGTTAAATATTACATAGATAACTAGTAGAAGTCTGAATCTCCCTCACAGACTAGTACACCAGCTGGATTGTGGTGAAGAAAAGGACGTACTATGTAGTGATTCCCCAGACACATACATCGCACAGTTAAAACTACAACAGCTAATAGTAGACGTAGACGACATACCTTCAATTATAAATAATAAGCTTTTGAAGAGAATACACGTAATAAATCTAAAGTAGTATTCAAAATTAGTTGAACCAATACAGTCTAATGTAACATCATAGTTATAAAATCCAATGAAGTGAATTTAGCTGTTAATCATGAATAAATTAAAAAAAAAAATTAAGTACCGAACATTTTTATTTCATAAACTCAAAATCTCAAACTTGTCAAATTAACAATTTTCATGAAAAACTCTTTAAACAACTTAAAAACCAACCTATTCAACTGAAAAAGACCTCAATATACTAAAAATCAATTTTCAACTTGTGTTATCAAGATCTTGATGATCATTTATTAATACTTTAAGTTTTCGTGATCTGGATAAGCTATCGGAGATAATCGGCATTTACAGATCTAGAGAAATCAACTAGATCTCAAGATCTTAAAATGGTGCTGCATTGATTTAAATGGCTTCCAGTTTTCAAATTTGATGCTATCTGTCCAGTAAATATCTTAATTTTGCTTATTTATTGTGTTTGAGTGGAAATTGCAGCTTGTAGAATCATGAATCAGCTTGTCCGTCAATAACCGTGTTGTCCAAGGTGTTTTAAGCTTTGTCAATTCTTGAATTATTCAAGTTTTGTTGTGGGGTCTGGGGGATATTATCTTTTATTATGGGATCTAGGGATTATTTTCATTGTGGGATCTGGGGCATTTCCATTGAGTATGGGTACTGGGGGATTATCATTTATCATTGGGTTTTTCGTTTCCTTTTTACTTTTTTATTCGGGTTTATTAGGTCCAGTTCTCCAAGGTGATTTATATTCTTTTTGAATTATTTTGAAATAGGGGAACATAATGGAGATTTTTGCTACATGTTTTCATTTTAAAGGTTTCAATGAGTGAATAGATGTTGAAGGTCAATTGGGAGGACTACATTTAGATGTACTTATGATTCCTGGAAACTTGTGAGAATTGATGAAGTTATGATTTCGGAATTTTTCAGCTCTTGATGATGATGTTGATTAGAATTCATTGCTTGCTTCATTTTCCTGGTAGTTCGGGAATAGTATTGAGTAAGTCAAGATGCCAATTTTATTGGTAGAATAATGTTTTCTTTGAAACTAGTCAAAAGTCATAAGAAGTTTACAATGAACCAAAAAAAAAAAAAAAAATAAGAAGCAAAAGCTAAAGCTAAAGCAGAAGAACTTGAAACCTAATACTAATAGATCAGTTGATCTCTAGTTGTTATTCCATTCAAACAAATGATATTGATGATTTCAATTGATGATGAAACTGAAAGGCAAGGGCCCTGTCTGATGTGGAAGATGATTCGGTTGTTATTAGATTGTCGTTTGGGGATAATAACAAAGGTGTTTTTTAAGGCTGGATCTTTCCATGATAGTCTGTATTAGATTGGAACTTTTTGTGACAATTGAAACTTACTGATTGATTGATTTTCAGACTTTTTCACCTATTTTTTCATCTAATTGTCATAAAGGTTTATGACATGTAGTTGATCTCTCTTTTAATTCTTCTTTTATTCAAACTTTTCTATTATATAATTCTTTTCTATTATTCATTGTTGTAGTTCCTTGCGTTATGTAGTTTGTAACGTCGTAAATGGAAAATATAAACAAGTGAAATGACAACAATGGAAAAAAGCTTGTAACAACATGGAAAAAGAAATCAATGAACAGTGAACAGGTGTAACACAACAACTGGAAAGTCAGCAATAAAACCCCAAAATGAACTAACTAAACAAACATGAATGGCTTTAAATAAAAATTAGTAACTGAACATCACAATGATCATGAAAAAGATTAAAACAGGTGAATGATAATACCAAAAAGCAAGAACTGGAAACGAAAAACGAGTGAATAATTATCTGTAAATAAGTTAGTAGTTGAACATCATATTGATTGATCATGAAATAAAAAAAAAGTAAATGATAATACCAAAATGACAAAAATTTGGAAATGAACAATAAATGATGGCCTGGGGTAGATGTCAACGAAACAAAAGAACACCATTGGGGAATGATATCTTGAAACACAAATTCAAGAACAACAACATATGAGTACAATCATCATTGATTTTATAGAAAAACAAGGGGGGGAAAGTTCTTCAAAATCATCAGAGCCAAGTAAACATAATAGTCATCCTAGGTTATTTGAAATGAAAAGCTATAGTATCAAGAATCCTCCCAAAGTTGTTGATGTAAGTTCAAGGTAACAATGAAACCCAAATACTCAACTCAAAAGAACAAGCTCTCAAATCTTTCAATGGGGGTAGTGCATCAAGGTACTTCCTATCAATCGAGTCCACCACTGACTTTTCATAATAGTAACTCATCAAACAAGGATAACGTATCTCAAAGGACACAAGATTCATCAGACAAATAATAACCTTTCTAACCATCAAAGTGAACTGTGAAACCATAAAGAATATCAAGGGTCTTGAGAACATGAACTGTCTACCTGGAAATGAATGAAAACACCAACAGTGAATTAAAAGTTGAAAAAGAATGCAAGTGAATTGGGATTCGACCTTCTTTTAACTTTTTCCACTCAAATAACACAAAACCCAAAGCAACCACAAAACACAAAGACAACAAACCACAAACACCATAGTAATTGAATTATTCTCCTAAGTAATTCATCTTTGTGTACGTAAACACAAACACAAAACAAGAGGTAACCACAAAAACGATAAAGAAAATCACCAGCAACAAAGAAATGGATGGAAGATGACAATGACACAATAGAGCATTTGATGATCTCTCACCAACAGCTCATACCATTCAAAAACATCACCATTAACATTGATCTCATTACATGACTAATTGTAGATTCAATTTCTTTTAGCCCCTCCATCAATTTGACACAATTTCCGAGTCACCTTCTTTTGACTCTGACACCCATACTTTCTCTATTGTGTTGAAATCATGTCAAAACCAGTACAAAAACCATACAATTAAGCCTAAACACAAACACATGGCTACAACATAACCATTCAATCCATAATACAAACACTACACCCCCTATTAACCCCTACACCCCTTTAATCTCATCTCTCCCAGCCAATGACTGCCCTGAATCCATCACAACAGTCCACGTGATCAATAAACACGGTACGCGCACTCTATGACCAACTGTCGCGACGCTTGAGTCAGTCAAGAAAATTTTTTATATATGAAGTGTTAAATTAATACCCATGACCAACTATATAAACACTTGAACAGGCTCTATTTCAACTACTTTTTGTACTTATTCCCAAGGTTACTCAATTGAACTATACGCAACAATGGCTTCTCCCCAACAAATCAAAAACTTGCAACAAACTTTTGACAGAGCTTTAGGCTCTCCAAATGCAGTTTCAACTTCTCCATCTCAATCTTTTTTACAAAATCAATTTCGTCCAAGAGGATTTTCCACTTCAAATCAAGCAAAACCTTTAAAACCTTTCAACACTGAAGATATGAAAATTTTATTATTAGAAAATGTTAATCAAACTGCTATTGATATTTTCAATGGTCAAGGTTATCAAGTTGAATTTTATAAAACTTCATTACCTGAAGATGAATTGATTGAAAAAATTAAAAACGTTCATGCTATTGGTATTCGATCCAAAACAAAATTAACTGAAAAAGTCTTGACCGCTGCTAAGAACTTGGTTGTTATTGGTTGTTTCTGTATCGGTACAAATCAAGTTGATTTAGATTTTGCAGCTTCAAAAGGTGTTGCAGTTTTCAATTCACCTTTCTCAAATTCAAGATCTGTTGCTGAATTAGTCATTGCTGAAATCATCACTTTAGCTAGACAATTAGGTGACCGTTCAATTGAATTACATACTGGTACTTGGAATAAAGTTAGTGCCAAATGTTGGGAAGTTAGAGGTAAAACTTTAGGTATTGTTGGTTATGGTCATATTGGTTCCCAATTATCCGTTTTAGCTGAAGCTTTAGGTATGAATGTCTTGTATTATGATGTTGTCATGATTATGGCTCTAGGTAACTCAAAACAAGTTCCAACTTTAGATGAATTATTATCAAAAGCTGATTTCATCACTTTACACGTTCCAGCTACACCTGAAACTAAAAACTTGTTATCAACTCCACAATTCGCCGCTATGAAAGATGGCTCTTATGTTATAAATGCTTCAAGAGGTACCGTTATTGATATCCCAGCTTTAATCGCCGCCATGAAATCTGGTAAAATCGCAGGTGCTGCTCTTGATGTTTATCCTCATGAACCTGCCAAAAACGGTGCTGGTTTATTCAGCGATGACTTAAACTCTTGGGCTTCAGAATTAACTTCATTAAGAAACTTGATCTTGACTCCTCATATTGGTGGTTCCACTGAAGAAGCCCAATCAGCTATTGGTGTTGAAGTCGGTACTGCTTTAACCAAATACATCAACGAAGGTGCTTCTGTTGGTGCTGTTAACTTCCCAGAAGTTGCCCTAAGATCATTAGATTTGGATCAACAAAACTCTGTTAGAGTCTTGTATATCCATCAAAATGTTCCAGGTGTTTTGAAAACTGTTAACAACATTTTAGGTAATCATAATATTGAAAAACAATTTACTGATTCCCAAGGTGAAATTGCTTATTTGATTGCTGATATTAGTGATGTTGATCAAGGTGATATCAAATCATTATATGAAGAATTAAATGATACTCCTTACAAAATTGCAGTTAGATTATTATATTAGATTATCTCTGTGTTTTTTAATATTTCAGTTCAGTTTTTAACAAGTCTTTAACAGACTTGGACCCCCGTTTTTTAATGAAATTTTCATGAATTTACATTGGTGTTTTGGGTATTTTAGGTTTAATTAGTTTTTTTTTCGTTTCATTGCAAAATAAAAGTTTCATAGTTCAACAATATGAAACCAAATATATAGAATAAACATATACGCATTAAAATAATACTCGTTTGTATGTTGTTATCACTTCTTTCTCTTGACAAACCAATCAAATTGCGCTTTACTTTGTAATAAAATATCAAAAATCATTGGATGTCCACCATTTAAAATCAATGTGATTTTAACATTTCTTAAAAACTCATCAAACCGTTCCATTTGGAACTTGCTCATAACTTTCTCAACGTACTGAGGTTTAATCTTGCCTTCAATAAATAATTCCAATTGTTGAATTAATTCATTTGGATCTTTTTCAAAATCTGAAAAATTCGACTGTGTTATAGATTTATTTGTTTCAATCTCCTTCTTGAATTGATCTAATTCATCATAAAACTTTTCAATATACATGGAATCATCTGGTAATTGCTTATATTCTGTTTGTTCTTTGATCAATTTTTGCTTTGGGAATATAACACGATCACTTATTGCACTTGCCTTACGGGTGGATATTAAAAAAGGTTTGAAGTTTCTGGAAACGTGACAAATTAGTCTGGATGAAGGAGTCTTGAATAATGAGAGCATGGTGGGAGGCGATAAGTTGTTAGTATTAGCTATAAAGTCTTGTTGTGACTTGATATTGTAAATGGATGGGAAAATGGGATATCAAGGTACGATTTATACCCCAAGATATAGATGTTGATTGATCAAGACTCTTTGAGCTGGTGAATTAATGTGGTGATTATGATGAATGAAAAGCAGTGAATCAAAATAGCTGCAGTATAATAGTAAACAATCTCAGCTCACACTTCATTTAACCTTTCAACTCTTTCACTATCAATAAATCAAGAAAGATTATAATATCCCATGGCACAATTTTGTGGGTTATCTGGTCGCGAATACGTTTTGCAAAAAATCCAGATTCCGCGAATTTGTTGATGTTTTCGAAAAATCAGAAAAGTCAACAATTTGGTGGCAACAAAAAAGATCAATTCATTAAGAATCAGTCAAAGTTAACAACCGTCAATATTTGTTAGTCAATCACAAAGAAAGAATGGCTACAAGTACTGCTGCTCCTTACTTGGCACTTTTGTCTGAAAAAGACTTGAGCTTGAAAAGTTTTGCCTTGAAATCAATCAATGATGTCGTTGATGAATTATGGTCAGAAATTGCAAACAATATCTTGGAAATTGAAGAATTATATGAAGATGAATCTTTCAAAGAAAGAAAATTAGCAGCATTGATTGCTTCTAAAGTTTATTACAATTTAGCTGATTACGATTCCTCTGTTAAATTTGCCTTGGTTGCAGATGATGCTTTTGATATTAATGAACATTCAGGTTATGTTGAAACTATCATCTCAAAGGCAATCGATCGTTATATCAAATTATCTCAACAAAAATATGAAGATCAATATTCACAAGTGGAAATTCCTCAACAATTGACAAATATTTTCGAAAGAATGTTGCAAAAAGCTATAAAGGAAAATGACCTAAGATTAGTTATTGGTATTGCTCTTGATAGTTATAGATTGGACATTGTCGAGAAAATTATCAAGGATCAATTGGAAAATGAAACTGAAGAAAATGTTTTAAATTTGATTAATTACTCTTTAAACATTGCCACTTCAATTGTTGCCAATACTGAATTTAGATCAAAGATTTTGAATTCATTAGTTTCAATTATAATAAACTTGAAAAATCCAGATTTCTTCACTGTTTCTAAGATTATAGTGAACTTGAATGATCATAATCTTGCATTACATTTATTCACCAATTTATTGAAATCAGATGATACAAACAATAGATTAATTGCATACCAAGTTGCTTTTGATTTAGTCAATTCAGCTTCTCAAGAACTATTAGATAAAACCATTGCCAATTTAGAATCCTCCAATTCTTCATCTTCATCACCTTCACCAGCCACTTCTAAAATTATCAAGATCTTGTCAGGTGTTCCAACTTGTGATTTTGATATTACATTTTTACACAAGAATAACAATACTGATATACAAATCTTGGATAAATCAAAAGAAGCACTAGATGGTAGAAACTCTATTTTCCATTCAGCAATTACTTTTGAGAATGCATTCTTACATGCTGGTACCACTGATGATTCATTTTTCAGATCAAACTTGGAATGGTTAGGTAAAGCTACAAATTGGTCAAAATTCTCTGCAACAGCAGCCTTAGGTGTTATTCATAAAGGTAATTTATCTCAAGGTAGAAAAATTTTACAACCTTATTTACCAGGTAGTTCAGGATCTCATTATACAAAAGGTGGTTCTTTATATGCTCTTGGTTTGATCTTTGCTGGTCATGGTAGAGAAACCATTGAGTACTTGAGACATCATGTTGTTGAAAATGGTTTAAGTGCTGGTACTGATGAAGTTGATGTTGTCCTACACGGTGCTGCATTAGGTACAGGTGTTGCAGGTATGGGTTCTGGTAATGAAGAAATTTACGAAGAATTGAAAGTTGTTTTGTTTTCAGATAGTGCAATCTCAGGTGAAGCTGCTGCATTAGGGATGGGTTTAATAATGTTGGGTTCAGGTGATGAAGATGCTGAAAATGACATGTATGCTTATGCTCAAGAAACTCAACATGAAAATATTATTCGTGGATTATCCTTAGGAATAGCCTTATTAAATTATGGTAGAGAAGAACAAGCTGAATTGATAATTTTAACTTTATTAGACCATCAAAATCCAATATTACGTCTTGGTGGTGCTTATACTATTGCCTTAGCCTATGCTGGTACTGGTAACAACAAGGCCATTCAGCAATTATTACATATTGCAGTTTCAGATTCAAATGATAATGTTAGAAGAACTGCAGTTATTGCATTAGGTTTTGTTTTGATTCGTGATTATCAAACAGTTCCAAGACTTGTTGAATTATTATCAGAATCTCATAATCCACATGTTCGTTATGGTACTGCTATGGCTTTAGGTATATCATGTGCCGGTCGTGGATTACAACAAGCTGTTGATGTTTTAATGCCATTAACTAAAGATTCAGTTGATTTTGTTCGTCAAGGTGCCTTGATTGCCCTATCAATGGTTTTAATTCAACAAAATGAAAAATCATATCCAAAAGTTACCGAAGTTAGAGAACTTTATGCCTCGATTATTGGTAATAAAAACCAAGATGCTTTAACTAAATTTGGTGCAGCTTTAGGTCAAGGTATAATAGATGCAGGTGGTCGTAATGTTACAATTCAAGTGGAAAACGGTTCAACTGGTACTTTAAACACTAAAGCCATTGTTGGGTTAGCTATTTTCACACAATTTTGGTATTGGTTCCCATTGACACATTTCCTAAGTTTGGCATTTACTCCAACTTCAATTATTGGTGTTCGTGAAGATTTGAAAATTCCAAAATTTGACATAAATTGTCATTCAAAACCTTCATTCTTTGATTATCCACCAAAAGTTAAAGAAGATACACAACAAGTTTATGAAAAAGTTGAATCTGCAATTTTATCAACAACTGCAAAGGCAAAAGCTAGAGCTAAAAAATCTCAAAAGGCTCAAAAAGAGGACGAAATGGAGATTGATGAAAAAACTGAATCAAAGAAAGAATCTAAAAAAGTTGATGATAAAGAAAAAGTTGAAAGATCTGAAAAAGCTGAAGAACCAAACACTGCAACTTCAACATTGACAGGAGGTGAAGGTGTTGAAGAAGCTTCAAGTGCAATCAAATACTCAAAGACTCCATACAAATTAGAAAATGTTAGCAGAGTGTTACCAAACCAATTGAAATATATTTCATTCAATAAAGATGAAAGATTTGTTCCAGTTAGAAAATTCAGAAGTAATGGAGGTGTTGTTGTTTTAATTGATAAAAAACCTGAAGAACCAATACAGTCAATCAAAACAGTTAGACAATTGAATAATAAAGATGCTCCATTACCAAAGCCTTTCCATCTAGAGAATGCTGAAGGTGATGAATAGAACTTGCTAAACCATGAGAAACCCTATTGTATAACAGTTATTTAAAAAAATAAAAGTCTATTAAATTTGAATTTTGTATATACTTTGTTGCGCGAACCGTATTGAGTTTTTCTATGGAGAAAAAGTCAAAGGAAAAGTTGGATGAAGGATCCTTAAAACATGAACATAAACAGTTAAAGGAATCAACAAACCACAACAATGACTACTGTTTACGGGGATTATCCTGTGTATTACAAACAGCCAATACGTGTATGTTTGAATTGCCGTTTTCGTTTTGAACCAGAATACTAACTGGACCTAGTGGTTACGTTATCACGCTCATACCAGACCACATTTATATTACTCTGTTGTTCTTGGATTAGGTGTTCCAGCTCTGGCTCTCATCTTGACTCCATTGAGAAGAAGATATCTATATCCTGACCATGAAGTTGTTCCTAATGGTTATCCATGTAAGTATTTAGAGAGGTGTTTTAAGGAGTTTTACTAACGAGAGTTTATAGTGCCTAAACGGAAAAGAGACTTGACATTGCAAGGCTATGATGATTAAAGTCATCCTTATTATTTATTTGAGCTTATTTATTTATTTATTACATTATTTATTCAGCACTTCAAGAGAAAATACTACAAATTGGAAAAATTTTTTTTTCTAAATATTTACAAATTCGTTGATTTCATTGTAGTGTAACGTTATATACATAATTTAATCACCACTTGTAGAAACCTTCAGGTCTCCAACGTAAACTTGAAGAAGGTAGTTGCATGTATGGTGCTTTTCTTAATTCTTTTTGTTCTTGTTCATATGCTAATCTCTTTTTTGTTTGTTCACCTTTCAAAATAGCTCTAATATGGATATGTGGATGCTCTATAACACCTGTTCTACCTCTACCTTTGATATCAACTCTTTTGATAATGTGGCCATCTTTACCTGCCCAAATTTGATCAAGATATAATTCATCAGGATTTAAATTCAATTGTTTGGCATCATTCAAACCTTTTTCTAGTAACTCTGCAACATCTCTTGCGATTTGTTTTTGATTGAAATGAGCTTGTGTAATAGCTTTTTTGACTTCCATTCTATTGATTAATTTTAAGAAAGTTGTAGCTTTTTTAACAGAATGTTTAATTCTAAATGTTTTCAAATAAATACTTGGTTCAAAAGCTTCTATTTCCTTTTTTGATAACTTTAATTGATATTTTTCACCATTTGATAATTTAACAATATCATTGTTTTTGAAAAATCCATTCTTTGCAACATTTGCATTATATATTTGTAATTTCAAAGGACTTAGATATTTTTCAGCAGCTGGTGTTGGTGCATGACCTATGAATCTTTGAAGTTCTGGATCTTTACGTAGAGTGATTCTTTCTTTATAAAAAGGTTTATCCCCTTGAGCTTGATTATCCATGGAATCCACTAGATCTCTTTTCTTGTTTTTAGTTGGTTTATCTTCAGGTTTAGCTGTAACATCACCAAATAATGATGTTGATTCTTGTAATTTTGAGCTAGAAATATGGAATGATCTCGTGAACCTCGACACGAGTCCTAATTGTGGTTTTAGACTCAACATGCTTTATAAAATATCCAACAATAAGCACTTGATTTATCCAATTCAATCAATCTCTATTGATTTTTCACTTGAGGAAAAAAAAGTGTTGATGCGAAATTCGAAAAACCGAAATGTTACCCTCTTCTGAGCACCTCGGAAGTTGTAAAGCGTTAATCTCCGAGGGTTCTCCAAAATAGTGACATAAACTTTTTTTAGAATACTTAAAACTTGAATATTGATACAATTCTGAGCCTGTAAGAAGCTATTTCATAGGAGAGACTCATTAGTGCTTGAGGTTTAGCACTTGGAGTCTACTAAAACTGGATCGGCTTTACTCAGTTATATTTTAAACAAGCACTAATTTTCCTCAAGTTTAAAGCAAGTTTTTTGAGATAATAACCTGGGGCGTTGCTGAACAAGAAAGAACTCAACCTTTCAAGTAATTGAAAGGAGAATCCGAAACCTGAGAGAATCTTGAAACAATACACAACTGTGCTTAACTATATCAACATCAAGGTCATTGGGTGGTGAATTACTACAATAGCTATTAGCATTAAAGAAAGAACAACCATTATTTGGTCACAATGGGTCTTTATTATCAAGATAACTTGGATGATTTTGGCCATAGAAGAACTATCTTCAAATGTTCAGACTGCTACTCCCATTTCTTTACATCTTCAGACATCATATCAGACAATTTCCATGGTAAAAATGGTACTGCATATCTAGTTGAGAAAGTTGTTAATGTTAAAAGAGGACCAACAGAAATAAGAAGTATGATGACTGGTGAGTATACAGTCTGTGACACGTTATGTCAACAATGTGGTAAATACATTGGCTGGGAATATTTAACTGCTGATGAGATTAGTGAAAAATATAAAGAAGGGAAACACGTTATTGAGGTGTGTGGGTTAGGTGCTTCCGGGATGGATAAGAAGAAGGAGCTATTGTTTTAGAATGCTCGTTGGGTATAGGATATTTGAGGTACACGGTTGAATTTTAATGGGATATATATGACAGGAAAGGATTAGGTTATTTTATTTAGCTTTTATATAATGAAATGTTTATGATAAGAAATTTCAACAAACACTACGACATGACACATACTTAATTTACCTTTAACCTAGCCTTATATTGTAAAAAAACTAATAATAAAAACAAAACAGCCATAAAATGATTGAGCCAATAAATAATAAATCAAAAAAGAATATATACATAGTCTCCCAAAAGTCACACCAAAAAAAAAATTCAAACAATAGTAAGATAATAGTAAAAAAACAAAAGTAGATAGAATCACTGAGCAAAAGTTGCATCAGAAAAACAGTAGAAATATAAAGCCATGTTAAGCAGCTTCAAACGAAACAGTAATAATCTTTTTTGAAATAGACGTTTGAAATAGTCTAGAGGGGTATCAAACAATCTCTTTGAAAAACCCAGCACGTTGATCATCTCTAGCATCACCGCCATCACCCATCTGTATGGAACCCAAAGATTCATCAGTACTTGAGCTATCAGTATCTTCAGTCAAGCTTGACCCATTAGATTCAACACTAAATCTATTATTCGCATCAACAACATTATAAGAATTTGCACGTCTTTTTGGGGGAGGTGGAGGAGGTGGAGGTTTTTTAATTCCAATGGATTCATCAAATGGATTTTGTAACATATAGTTTGTTAATCCTGCATTTTGATATCTTGCTGAGTTCCCTAAATTTCTTGAACTTAATCTATGATTTGGTCTTGAAATTGTAGAGTTTTCTGATTCAGTTTCTTCATAAACTGTATCTATTGTTCTTAGTTGGGTATTATTTTGTGGGTAGGATGATGATGATGGTGATGAAGATGATTGGTAATGTGATGGTCTTGTTGTAGGTATTGTGTTATTTGTTGTCATTGTTGATGTTATTGGAGTTCTTTCATTGGGTATTTGTTGTCCTCTTAAAATACTTGAGCGTAATGAACCAAGACCATCTAAATCTTGTGTATCTTGTGGTGGGGTATCATGATGTTGTATTTGTGAATGATAATAATGGTCTTGACTTGTATTTGTTGCTGGTTTTTTGAATTTTGATAAAACACCACTTAGGAATGAAGGTCTTGAATGTTGAGGTTTTTCACTATAATCATAATTATGACTATCATCAAATCCATATTCATCATCTAATCTCCTTGTTGATGTAATAGAATGTGTAAAAGAACCCTTCTCTGAATGATTACCACCAAATCTCTTCTTTCTGAAAACGAAAAACCACAATAAAAACAATATAATTGAAACACCAGCAACGGAACCAACAACAGAACCTGCAATTTTCCCCTTTGTTGAGCCAGAATTATCATCTGAACTTGAAGTTGAAGTTCTGAAACCCGGTATAGAGTTTGCAAAATATGATAAATCTGTAGTCTTTGTTGAACCACTTGAATATGAAAATGTGGAAGGATCTTGTAAAACAGTGGAGACCGGTAAAGCTGTTGTTATTGTTGTGCTTTCATCTGTAAGACAATAGATTTGGGTATATACAAAAGTTGTTGAACCTTGTGTTGTTGTTGGTGATGCTGAGGATGAAGCTTCAGTATATGTTGGAGAAGAAGTTGTACTTTCAGGGATAACTGATGATGATGGTGATGATGAGAATACAGTTGATGTTATAGAACTGCTTTCAGAAGGTGATGAGGTCTTTGATGAGGATGAAGAGTCTGTAGACAGCTTGGGCAGTGAATGTAAATGGAATGAGGATGACTCTTCTGAACTTGAGGATAATGAGGGTAATGAGGATGATGATATAGACGAACTAGATGTTATTGATGAAGAGTTCAGAGTAGAAGAGTCATGAGTATGAAATAATCTTGCAGATGAATCATCTGAGGAGCTTGCTGATGATAATGTTGAATTTGAACTTGACGTGTCAGTGATTGTAGAGTTATCCAGAGCAGACAAACTTGGTGTCACTATTGACGTTATGCTTGAACTTGTGGCCTGTTTCTCACTGCTAGATGATGACGACGATGATGAGCTGAGAGATGATAATATTGTTGTACTGGTTGAACCCAGCAGAGTTGTTGAAGATGAAGTTGAATTAGACATTCTCCGTTATCAATAATTAGCGAATGACAACTACCAACAAACCCACCAGCCTAATGATATTATAAAACCCAATAGAACCTTTAATAATTCACCAACTCCTTCTTTGATGTGATATTTGTTTTCCTTTTCCTTCCTGAACGATGTACTTGGTTACTGTGGGAATATCAGCAAGCTAAAAAATCTATTATTATGACAACAACCGCAGTTTCTCTCTTTTGAAAAAGGCTTTTTTTTGTAAGCGATAGACACAGATTGGGAAAAGCACTTGTTATGGCTCAGATTATAATTATGGAGATGATAAACTAGTTTCTCTCAGCCACTTTTTCATTTAATTCAACCGTTCCCAAATGTTTTAAATCTGACTTTGGTTCGTCCTTTTCCCACTTTAAAAAAAAACTGTTTCACCAAATTCGTAATTTTTCTATCCCCAAAAAAAAACACGCGAGATTTGACCGAAAACAAGTGTGTTTAGTGGAATTTGTTCAGCCCAGATTTTAATTCTGGTTTGATTTGATAGTGCTGGCCAGGTTGTGATTAGTATTTAATCACCTTTCAATTACACTGGTACAAAATTTGATCTACCACGTTATTAATTCTATGGCAAAATTCCTGATTTGCCCAATTTCGTTTTTCTTTTTTGATCGAAAATTTGACGTATTAATTTTTTTTTTTTGATTTAAAAATAGCGTGTGGTGTTGGGATGTTCGCGAAGTCTAGATCTAGGCCAATACATACTTAGTTCAAATTGTAATCTGTTTATTAAAAAGTAATCTTTTTACCTGTGGATTTCACAATGGCTGCACTTTGTCTTTGTGCTCCAGCTAATGCCACACTGGATTTAGGTCTTTCCGGTTTTCTATCTGAGTTATTAAAGGTTCTCTTTGGCTTATTCTGTCTTTCTCTGTAAACTGGTGCAGGTTTTTCAAAAGTTTCCACTGCAGCTGCATTAGTTGGTTCATTATATGATGATGATGATGATTCTTCTTGCTGTTGTTCAGGTTTTCTAACTAAATTCTTTGGGGTTCTTTTACTTCTATCTTCACCATATTCTAATCTTAAATTTCTTTGCATCAATTTTCTACAACTTTTATCTTTTAAAGCTTTTGTTGGACCTTCTTCATCTTTAAAATCTAAAAATGCAAAGCCTTTACATTTACCAGTATCTTCAAAAGTGGCCATTCTAATCTTGATGATATCTCCACAATGTTGGAAATGTTGAGTTAATAATTCATTAGTTGTATCAAATGATAAATTACCAACAAATAAAATTCTTGATGGTGGATTTTTAGATAATGGTGCATCTTCTTTTGATGGACGTCCTTCAAATGATGAACTATTCTTAATTAATAGATTTCTACCGTTTAAATGTTGTTCAGATAATTGAATAACTGATGATTGATGATTTTTAGTTGGGAAATCAATATATGCAAAACCTTTAATTTTTTTACTTTGATGTTGCATTGGTAAATTTATTCTAACAAAATCTTTTTCATTAATTTGACATGGTTCTGTTTCTTTTAAATCTGTGGAAAATTCTGGTAAATCTGTAGTTTTATTTGTAATGAATCTAATTAAATCATCTTTTGTTGTATCAAATGATAAATTACCAATCCAAACACCTATTCTTTCAGGTTTTTTCTCTTTTTCTTCACTTGATTCAGTTTCTTCAATATTTGCAGGTTTAGGTTTTGGATTTTTTTTCTCTAATTTAGCAAGATCTAATTTCCCCTTTCTTAGTAAACGTTTTTGTTTTTTAGATAATGGAGCAGATTGGTTTAAATCAATTTCAATTTCTTCACCTGTGGCTTCATCCATAGTTCTCTTTTTTGGTGTGGTTTCTTCAGCAGCTGACTCAGTGGCTTCTATTTCTTCTTTACTCATTTTGAATTTATATTAATCTTTGATATCCTTCTAAGTTGTGTCTATAAAATTATCAGTTATCAACTCTGTATAAATTTTTTTTTCTCTTGCAAAAAAACTTCATCGGTATGGCCAGCACCTCATCGCATCTACGATAAAAGAAATCAAGGCTTAAATTGAAACCAAAAAAGGTGAAATACAGCTGGAATTTAGATAGAAATGAAAGTTTCAGTTTCAAGTTCCATAATCACCAAAAAAAAACTCCATTTAATGCTCAAAATGGAGCCAAAAATTGGCAAAAAAATGATTCTCCCGGGGGCGAGTCGAACGCCCGATCTCAAGATGTCTTGTTACCATTACAGTCTTGCGCCTTAAACCAACTTGGCTACCGAGAGGTGTTGTACGGACACTTGAAACCGGAGAGTGAATATGATATGCCAGGACCCGAAGGCCCGCGGCAGCGCAATTTCAATTAAATGGACACCTTGCACATAGAATTTAAAGATAATTTTGAGCTAGAAATGAAGAATAGCTTCTGGTTATCATATTATATAACTGACAGCGTTTTGAAGCGTTTTGAAGGTTGTTGTTTCCAATCCGAACCGTTTATTGATGGACCATGAGAGAAGACTTCAAGTGAAAAGGTAATGACGTCCCGGAACATGATTAACTGATTTGTAGTTCTTTGAACAACCATGCTGCTAAGATCATTAATGGTGTACCTTGAGTAGTAGCGTGTATCTTTAATCTATCTAGATGTCAAGGATGAAACAATCTTTGTTCTTTCAAACTCCAGATCACAAGTACCACAATTGAGTACAACGTACATGTCTTGCGCATCGGCCCCTTATGTCATAATCAGAGGTTGGGATACTCCACATTTCCATAATAAATTCATCATGTTCATCTTCTCAATATGTCTGTATGCTATTAAATCATGGTTAAACCTGTCAAAAAAAATTATTGGTACACCTACGGTCCGAGGTGGATTGATTTTAACAATCGATATTAGTGTGAATTCAATGGTTTTAAAGGTGAATATGGGGTTAATGATAGTGGATAGTGTATATCCAGTGATTATTTCCACTATCAGAGAGTATTTTGATGTGTATTTTCATTGTTTTGCAGTTTTCCCTACGGATTTAGTCTAGGCATGATCAAATTATTTAGACCGTGATGGAATTATCAAATCACCACTTTCCAGATTAAAAAAGACTCCAGAAAACAAGATTTCGAGGATTTAACCAATTTACTCATAATAATCCAATATAACCAATCTCAAATACCTTCACCATCAAAATCATCCATAATTTCTCAATAATTTCAACCTTTAACTAAAATCCTGACAACCAACAGAAAAAAACGCAGGAAAAAAGCAGCACAGAACAAAAAAAAACAGTGAAAATATTTAACTGACTCAAATTCTTTTAAAACAACTACAAAACTTGTTTACACTATAAACACACCATTTAAAAATCAACACCACTCCATACAAATCATCTTAACTACCTTCCCCTATTAAAACCACACTAAAATCTCACAGTCACACGCCTTTTTGCTCAAATTTGACAAATCCAAAAAGAAAAAAACGGAAAATTTCAACTTCCCACACGACCCATAATCGAAAACAGAGGGTCTTTATTCAATCATAAGCATTTACTCTAAAGTCATATAAAAACGGTGCTATCAATAGATCATTGCTGCTACTAGAAAACCAGTGATAGCCATACTTCTCACTCCCCTTTGCCAAAGTTTTACACCTTTTTCTTTACCCCAGAGTGTTATGATTGTTCATTAGTTCAATGGAATTTTATAAACAACAAAACAATATCAACAACTCAACTGAAAAATTCTACCAAATGCAGCGATTACAACCAAGTATATCAAACTCATCAACGCTGACAAACAACTCAACTTCCACTACAACAAATTCTTCTTCAAATTCATCTCCGTCATCACCATCTTTGAGCAATAATTGTCAAACACCAAAGATCAATTCCAAAAAGAAGAAGTTATACAATTTACAAATAGATACTAAAAACATCACTTCATTATGCAATCAATTCATTAAGGAGAATAATCATTTAGGTTTAGCATTAATCGCTAGACAAAAAGGTATCCCACCTTTATTAAGACATAAAATTTGGCCAATCTTGTTAAAATATCATCCTTATGTTATAAATCCATACCTAAGTGCAAATGTGGAAAATGATTCAGATAATGATATCCCCGAGGGTAAAATCAAATCAGAATTATTGAAATATTTCAGAATAAGGAATATTTTAGATGATGAAAATTCACAACCCAATAACAATAACAATAGTAATAATAATGGTAATGTCTCACCAGATTATAAAACTTCTGCATTAGAAGAAGAAATTATAAGGATTTTAGAAGCTTCAATTTTAAAATTTTTCAAAAAATGGGGTGCTATCATAAAATATGATGCTGGTTTCGCATGGATTGCTTTGAATTTAGCTGAATGGTTTCCCCCAATCCCTGGTTCAAATTATGTTTTAATTGGGAGAGATGTCATTAATCAAAAAGATCCTCATAATAAACATTTAACACAGTTGAGTTCTTTAAAAGATGAAGAGGAGTTTAGTCTTGATGAACAACAATTTGAACAAGAGGAGGACCAGGATGAAGGTGCCATAATGACATTTGCTGAAGTTTATGAACGATTAGTATTGGTGCTTTTACATTCAAATGAATCAGATGATAAAGAACATAATCAAGATGATTCTAAAAACACTGTTGATATAATATCTTCAAATAATTTAAACAGATTAGAATTATTGTTTAAATCTGGTAATATTGAATCAAGAATTGGGTTTTTCCTTATTGCGTTTGCTAAACTATTACCAGAATTATATAAATCTTTATCAGAGGAGGAAATTGTTAATAGTAATTCAAATAAGAATAATCAATGGCTAACATGGTGGTTTAAATATTGTGGGGCAAAAGTTTTCGATAAATTTGATCGTGGGAGATTATGGGATTTATTAATTGGATTTAGATTATCTTATTCAAATTTTGAATATAAATTTTTTGATAATTCAAGAGTTTTGAAAAGGTTTAAGAAATTTTATAATGATGATGATTTTAAATTTGATAATGATTTGAATGTTGAATTCCAAACTGATGCATTTTGGTATAAACCTTCAAATGATGAAAAAAATGAATTGAAATGGTCTCAATGTGATTATCAAATTCAATTGGTTTTCATATATATTGCAATTTTACAAAAAAATGAATCAAAATTATTAGAATTTGATCAATTTGAAATTAAGAATTTCTTGAATAAATTACCAAATGATAAATTCAAAGAAATTCATGAATTAAATACCATTAATGATCCCAAATTATTGAATAATAGTGATTATGTTAGTAATGATTTTGAAAAATTGTTTAATCAAGCTGGTGAATTATGGAGAAATTGGTTATGGAATGAAATTAGAGATGAAATTAATGAATGAAATGATGATACACAATGTATAGAAAAGAGTACAAAATTTATTTATATGTTAGAGAATTAAAGAAACAAATATTATAAATTATTGATACGTAGTCTAGGATTATTATATAACAGCATCATGAACTTCTGGTTTGACAACTTCTGGAGCTTTTTCCACTTCCACTTTACCACCTGCATTCTCTTTCAACACTTTACTTGGCTTTTTAGCTTTTTTTACAACTTTTTCACCTTTCACCCCATCCTTTAATTGTTCTTTTTCAACTTCACCAATCTTCTCACCATTAATTTCTGGTGACTCCACTTTATTTTGTTTTATAGCTATTTTCACAACTTTTTCACCTTTATTTTCTTGTAATGGTTGTTTTGGTTCAGAGTTTTCAACTTTCAATTCATCGTTTCCAGCTTTAGAATCATCTTTTAATTCATCAACCTTCTTTTGAGCCTTTTTAACAACTGGAACATCAACTTTCAAGTCATCTTTAGCAGCTGGAGTCTCTGTAATTTGACCCCATTGATAAACAGTACTAACTGTAGCACCTGCTTCATCAATTTCATATAATGTCTTTGTAATTATCTCTTCAACGGTCTTTGCAGCACCACCTGTCTTTGTAGCTTTTTTCAATTTTTTAATTGGTTGTTGAGATTTAAATTCTAATTCACCTTCTTCTCCATCATTATTCATTTTCTTGTTTTCCATATCATTAAATAATTGTTTATCTTTATTAATAGTTTTATCACTTATTAATTTATCAATAAATTCATCAGCTTCACCATTTTCAATATTTTGATCACCTGCAACTATAACTTTATCATTTTCTGCATCATAGACTTCATGAATAACTTCATCATTTGTTGATTCTTTTAATTCTTCAATCTTGGATTTAAATTCTTGTTGTTCTTTAGAAAATTCAAATTTTTTAAATTTCAATTGTTTCTTCTTTTCAACACCATCAGCTTTATAATAATTACCAAATTTAAATTCATTTTTAGATTGACCAAATTTAACAGGACCATTATTTAAACTTTGTAAAACTTTTTCTTCAAATTTTTTATTTGTACTATCCATATCAATTAAGAAATCTTCATCATTATCACCATTATGTCTTAAATCTTCAAATTCATCAACTTCTGCAAGATATTCATCAACTTCATCCCAATCAACACTACCAATTTTTAATCTTGATAAATCAGTATTTTTGAAAACATTAAATTTTTCTTCACGCCATTGATCACTAACATCTTCAAATGCTAATTTCCATGCTTTATCATAAACAACTTTATTCTTTTCATATTCACGTTGTCTTAATTCTTCATTTGCTAACCATTCCATATGTTTTAAATCATCAGTGGAAGGTTCATAAATATGCCATATAACATAATGTGGTAATCCAATAACATTAAATCCCATAGTTTTACATAACTTACCAAAAGCTTCAGTTTCTGCATGTTTTTTAAATGAAAAAGCTGGAAACATTGCACCTTGTCTGAAAACATTTGCTTTTGCTAAAATTGAAACACCTCCAATACCATCTAATTCAATTTCAACTTCTTCATCACCATAAGGATCTCTTAGGTAAGCTAAATGAGGTCTCCATGTGGCATATTCAGGATAACCTTCCACAATAACTGCATCTTCATCTAATTGCTCAGCTAACTCAACACCACCTTCACTTTCTTGCCATGAATTCAAATCATAAGCTTGTTCAGAACCTAACCAATCTGGTAAAGGTCTCCAAATATTTGGCACAATAACATCTTTATCATGATGCATTAAATCTTCAATGATTGTAGCAGGAACAGTTTCAACATCTGCATCTCTCCAATAAACCCATGAATGATCAGGTCTTAATGCTGTGGTTAATAACCAATTTCTTGCAATTGCCATTAATTTTCTTCTTGGACCTTGAGCTGCAAACCCATGACGATCACTAAAACTTTGACCAACAATTTGTCCAAAATTTTTTTCATAAATATCAATTCTACCAAATCTCTTTGATTTATCAGAATCTGCTTGGATTGTTTTCAAATGACTTTTCAAATCAGGGATTGTAGAATCTGAAGTATCAGAAATTAAAAATGCTAAATCAATTAAATTATGAGGATATGTTAAATTCTTCATATGACTGAAAAACATTGGTAAATGAGCTGAGGCATCTCTTAATGGAACTAAAAACAAAACACGTTCATTATTTTGCCAACCATTACCTGTTGATTTGAAATCTGCTAAATCATAAAATTCCACACCAATATCATTAAGTGAATCTATTGAACTTGAATGTAATGAATTGGGGAAATCTGGTGCATAGAAATGTTCCTCATTTGTTTGATATATTGAATATAGGTAAAATATAATAAAGAATGGTAAGACCGAATAGATTGTCTGTATAAGTAATTTGAACAATTCAAATGCCCCGTCTATGATGCTTGATTCATCAAGATTTAATGATGTGAAGATGGAATCTTGAGAATGATGATTATATTTTTCTTTAACGTCAATTTGTAGCTCTTCATCACTCGAACTTAGTTCAGGCTTACCTTCACCACCTGAAGAAGCTATGTTTCTCTGTCTTGACATAATTCACGTTTGTTTATACCTTTGGAATGTTGAACAGCGGTTGTTGATATATTGGAAAGCAGATATATAGACCTCACTAGCAACAGTAATAGCACAACAGCAGAGTGGTATTTGATCTACCGCTCTGGCACAACAATCTAGACTCGTGTACACCTAAAGCTCCAAAGGTCGTGTAGCTTTTAACAATTTCTGGTTTGGCTGGATTATTTTTTTTTTCTTTTTCCCAGCGCAGAGATCTTCGATCTTTAGAATTTCAGATCCAGACGTTTTTGGCAGAGACCGCTTTTTACGTGGAATTGTTAGAGATTGTTTCATTGTGGAGTATCTTTGGAAATGGGTACAGAAGACGCGTTTTTGGTGTCATTTTCAAAAGGAAACCATACTGAATTGTGTTTGTAAAAGTGTGTTCTGACTGGATAGACTGTTTCGTTATCAACTTCTCTGCGTTTTCTGAGACCACGGAGAAACCTTTGGAAGGGGAAAGATATTCTTAGAGAATTGAGTGGATTTGAGCACTGGACTATAAAGAAAGTTGTTAATAGTAGTTTTTATTGATTTAAACGCTCTTTTACTGATCAACTGCTCTTCATGTTGTGGTTTAATATACCTTCATATCTAGACTTCCCAATTAGGAACTAAACATCCCTTTACTCTCGGATTGTAATCGCGATGATGGTTTTTTTTTACAGGAAAGAAAAAAACATGAATAAACAGACATCAATCAACAATTCATTATAACACGACTAAAATACCAGCAATGCAGTGTGCAAGTAAGTAGAAACTTACAGAACCATCATGGTAGAATCACATACTAACATACTCTCTTTTTTAGTTTCTGGATTACCTCCAAAAATCCCAGTTGTTTCCCCAAAGAGTGGATCAATATTCGAAAAAGAATTAATACAACAATACATTAATGAACACCATAAAGATCCAATAAACTCAGAGCCATTAACTCTCGAGGAACTAATAGAGATTAAGGTATCGCCTTACCAACCTCCAAGACAACCAACATTGAACTCAATACCCTCTTTGTTATCTTCATTACAAAATGAATGGGATTCAGTTGCATTAGAACTTTTCCAATTAAGAAAACAATTAGATGATACAAGAAAAGAATTATCAACTGCACTATACCACCATGATGCTGCTGTTAGGGTTGCCTCAAAAGCGATAAAGCAAAGAGATGAAGCAAGAGCTGCATTACAAGAATTAACATTATCAATAAGTAATGGGAAATCAATTGAACCTGAACAAGTTACTACGAATGGTGACAATGATGTTCAATTAACAGATTCCGCGCCATCTGAAGAGATTGCACAATTGATAACAAGCGCTAATGAAGAATTGTTTGCCATTCACAAAGCTCAAAAGAATAAAGTTAATGTTAATATCACCACTCCATTGGGTGCAATCCATGCTGTTGGTAAACATGAAAGTAAACCTTATAAAAGAATCGTTGCTTCCAGTATTGTTGGTGGTGAAGTATTTTTAACTTCAAGTACAGGTCTCACATCTGTTTATGATGTTGAATCACAAAGTTATCATAAAAATGATTTAATCATAAAGAATAAAAACATTTCAATAATTACAGAGGTTTTACATAATGATTCAACTTCAACATTAGTTGGAGCTTCTACAGGTGATTTGATGATTAATAATGATGTCAAATTAGGGGTTAACGTCCATCAAGAGGCGCTAGTTTCAATCTTACCACATCCTTCTTTGAAAAATTTGGTTTTCTCAATTGATAAAAGTGGTACATATGCCCTTCATGATACAAATACCTTAGTGACACTATTTCAAGGTAAATTGAACAGCAATATTGTTGGTGCAAGCATTCATACAGATGGTGCCTTAGTTGCAGTTGCTGATGGTGATGGTACAATCTCAATCATTGATCTAAGAAGTAATGAAGTTGTTAAGAAGTTAGAAACTCCAAATAGTGAGCTTTCAGATGTTAAGTTTGGGCCAAATGGGTATTGGTTAATCGGTGCATATTCTTCTGCATCTTCAAATTTCATCAAAGTTTGGGATTTAAGAAAAGATTCATCAGAGACTATTGAATTGGTTCACAAAGCTCACAAGATCATCACTGATAAATCTTCACAGTTGGTTTTCACTCTTGGTGACTCTACTGTGGAGATTGCCCAATACAATAAAAAGGGTAAGGAATGGGTTTTGAAAACTACGAATGATCCATTAAAAGTTGAAATTGACGGTGCTATCGTTGATGGTGTTTTAGTTGATGATTCAAAAGAAGATGAGATCCAACTAGCAATTGTGAGTGACTCTTCGTCTGTTAGACAATTCAAGATTTCAAATAATTGAATGCAAAATCTTTAAAAAGAGCTTTTAATTTATGTTAATTTTTATTGTAGATTTTTTTGTTTTGATTTTGTTGCCCTTAAACCTGTCAAGAATTCAAAAAAAAATTAAAAAATTATGCTCTACGAAAAAACAAAAGATACCGAATACACCGTGGACAAAGACATTAAGGGTGAGAATTTGATAAGGCAAAGAACCAATTATTTCAGCTAAATACAATGTCAAGGAGGCTAGTACGATCCATAAGAAACATCAGCTCCACTCCAGCAGAAATCAAGATCAAAGCAGCTACAAGTAACGATTCATTTGGCCCAACTACATCCGAGTTGAACGAATTAGCCATCCTAACAAATGATTCAAAGCAATTGAAACAGATCATAACCATCTTGGTAAAGAGAATAAATGATTCCTCACGTAATTGGAGACATATCTTGAAAAGTCTCACAGTGATTCAATATTGTATGTTGGCTGGATCTATTGAATTTGTTTATTGGATTCAAAATAATTCATATTTGATTTCAACATTGAAGGAGTTCCAATTGAAGGATTCAAATGATATGGCTCAACAGATTAGAAAAAAGGCCAAAAGTATATCAAAGCTATTGAAAGATGACAAGTTATTGGAGGAAAAGAGATCAAACTATCATATTTACAGAAATAAGATGTCCCAGCCTGCAAATGGGAAAAGATCCTCTTTAGATATAACAAGACATGATGTTGAACCAGATGTTGAAGCTATCGGGTCTCCTGCTTTAGAAGATGGTTTTAATCCATTCAAAAGAGGAACGCAGAGTTTGGATATAAAGCGTTCCATTGGCGGTAGTCGTGGTTGGGAGAGTAATGGTGGTTTACTTGGTCATAAGGATAGGCAGAGTGATGAGATTTCACGTATATTGGCTAATATAGAAGAAGAGTGATGCTGAATTTCAGTGCATTGGAGTTTATTAGCTCCTCAAAGGAAGATAGGACCATAGAAATTGATCCAGATCTTAAGTTTGACTAATATGAAAAGCCTTCACTCAACTTTGAAAAGGTTTTAGGGAAATCATTTGCAACAAATTGACAAATTTCCTTCAGAACGTTTAGGGGCTTCAAAATTCTACTCAATTATTTGTCATTCATTTACATTCCAGAAGGTATATTACTAAAACCACGTTGCATCACCGTTGTCAACATCTCCAGAACATCACATTTACAATTCAATTGATCAAAATAAACCACGTCACGATTCACTGTCGTCCAATACGAATAAAACCACAGGACAATATCCCAATTAAGCATTTTTCTAAACCTCATCTTTCTGACCGTTGAAAGAATAATCCCGATATATTTTCCAGGGGAGGGCCTTCAAAACCCGACATCTGCTCAATTTTCATGGGAATTACACCGTTCAAATTCTAGAAGAAAGCTAATATTGCATTAATATAATTATAATAAACTAATTCTAATGAAAACGTTCAATTTCCAATTCATTTTAATTAAATTCTCGTATTTAAACTCATTGTTTACGTCTTTATTAATTTTCTATGAGTTTCTTTTTTTTTGTGTCCTTATCTGCCCAAAAAGGAAATATCGGTTCGGGCAGCACGGTTTGCCACTATGTACAAAACATATAAAAGGGGCAAGTCAGCCATCCCTTCAAGTTGCACTTTCCACTTGTTTTAATCCATCAAGAATATATCAAATAATCATCTATTCAATATGCAAATCTTTGTTAAAACTCTTACTGGGAAAACTATCACCTTAGAAGTATGTTGAGCTTTTTTTACTTCATTCCTGTTGCTGTACCCCGTGCGTTGTGTCATGTTATCTTTGTGTTGTTTTGATTCATGAAGTTGGTGGCGCGCTAAACACCAACAAGAGCTTTGGATGGGTCCAGTTGTGTTTAGAAGGGTATAGTGGTTGGGAATGATGTGAAGTGCTTTTTTTCACATTTTCATTTACTAACTTTTTAACTAGGTTGAATCTTCTGACACTATTGACAATGTTAAATCCAAGATTCAAGATAAAGAAGGTATTCCACCAGATCAACAACGTTTAATCTTTGCTGGTAAACAATTGGAAGATGGCAGAACTTTATCAGATTACAACATCCAAAAAGAATCAACATTACATTTGGTTTTAAGATTAAGAGGTGGTATGCAAATCTTCGTTAAAACTTTGACTGGTAAGACTATTACCTTAGAAGTTGAATCTTCTGACACCATTGATAACGTCAAATCCAAAATTCAAGACAAAGAAGGTATTCCACCAGATCAACAACGTTTAATTTTTGCTGGTAAGCAATTAGAAGACGGTAGAACCTTATCAGATTACAATATTCAAAAAGAATCAACATTGCATTTGGTGTTAAGATTGAGAGGTGGTATGCAAATTTTCGTTAAAACATTAACTGGTAAAACAATCACTTTAGAAGTTGAATCCTCTGATACTATTGATAATGTTAAGTCTAAGATTCAAGACAAAGAAGGTATTCCTCCAGATCAACAACGTTTAATTTTTGCTGGTAAGCAATTAGAAGACGGTAGAACCTTATCAGATTACAATATTCAAAAAGAATCAACATTGCATTTGGTGTTAAGATTGAGAGGTGGTATGCAAATTTTCGTTAA